CAATAGAATTTTACGAGCGGCACTTACCCATGTACCCTGCCACTAAGGACCTTTTCTGTGACAAATGTACAGGGCACTCAGGGCTGTTCTATTCTATCAACCAAGTTCAACATAATGTAGGGGTAGGGAGCTAGTTTTGATTGTTTTCTAGGTTCATTATAAAATGGTAAAATGGTAATTCATGGTAAAATTATACTTTTATCTGAGGCCACACCAATTTAATTTCTTGGTTAATGGATTCAACTGCTTCATTTTTTTCTGATTTGCAAAAAAACAAAAAAAAAAAAATGTCAGAATCAACTGCAAAATGCTCAATATTTTGCCCTGAACAGTTGAAAACAGTCCTTTTCATCCTACTTGTTACAGTTATTCCATCTTTCAACGGAGTGGTATCATTAAAAGTTCAAAACTCATTGTTTAAATTTTGAACCAGCCTGGTGTGTTGACTTCATGGCTCCTATCGTACCATTTTAGGCCATAATAGGATGCCTAGGTCTGTTTTTATTTTTTTTATTTTTTTTCACCCGCCCGCTCCATTATTTTTCTAGTAAGATCCGTTAACCAAGAAATTAAATTGGTGTGGCCTAAATTTATAATAATTCTATGTATATACTATTGATATCTAAAGGTCCATTATTTTCTAGCCACGTAACGAATAAAAATCTGGGGCAGGTGAGTCAGATCATCCATCTTGATTACATTATTACCCTAACAATGTTTTTATGAAGCATGTTCGTCGTCCTTAAGTAGGTCTAGTCATTAAATAGGCCATAAAATGGGCCGGGGGATACGCATGAACAGGCTCGTAATAATCATGTCACGGCTGAGGGGGAACATAGCGAGCGAACAAGAAAATTTGATTGTCAGAGATGAGGTAGACTGTCTATATGATTACTCCACATGGTATCATCTAGTATGTTTCCACTTTTATACATGTAACATGTCCCAATTGTGTCCAGCACTGCAAAGTCTGCCATGCGAGGATTGAACTAGGGCTGCGTACAGGTACAGGTACCAGTACCAGGGGTCGAAATTCATTTTTGGGAATAGGTGCACTGGTGCACCCAACCAGCATGCAAAATATCTGCAAATTTTACTTGGGGCAACCTATTTTTGAACCTATTAGCCCAGTATGCTACCTGAATTTTAAGAATGCGCCCCCCCCCCCCAAATCATGCCCACTTGGCTTGGTTGCACCACTGTATCCGGCAGATGCTTTTTAATTTTAGGTATTAATGGCTATTACCAGTATCAGATAACTAAAGGCTGTTAGAAATATTGTCAAAGGCTTATGTATGTAACATTGCTTAATTTGAGTAACTTGTAGGCGGGGCAACCTAAAATTCTGATGAGAAACCTAATTTTTGCCATAGTTCAAAAAAGTATTTTGTACACTGCCCAACATAAAAAAATTGGGTGCACAAAAAAATATTTTAGGTGCACCATATAAGATAAAATAAGTAGAATGCCTGCAAAAACTATAATAATTGTAATATTTTTTCTGACACTTGGATGTTAGGAATATGCTGCAACTACTATATTTAACATTTTTACATACGTTAAGCCTAAGAAAATGTTTGGGTCCACTGGTGCACTCACAGAAAAAAATTGGGTGCACAGCTCCAAATGTAGGTGCACTAAAGGTGCACATGAACCCAGTATTTTGAGCCCTGGGTCTACTTGGAAGTAATGTAAGTAGGAACTGGAAGTGTGTTTCACTGGGATAGAGCCAGTAGCCATGTGGTCTGATCTAACAGGAAACTGGCATATCCTGATTCTATACTTACAGGGGAGGGCTCACTAATTACATGTAGGGGTCTGAGGTAGCCTTGATTCTATACTTACAGGGGACAGGCCACTAATCATCCTGTCTGGGGGAAAATTTATATATAAACACAACACAACAGTATCAGGGAATATGCAGGTTAGTACAGGTAAAATTGGAGTTATGCAGGTATTTTTTATATTTTTACCTGCACATTACCTGCAAACGGTCTATGTATTGGGCTTATGATAATAATGATATCATAAATAAAGTAGGTGTATGTGGATTTTCATTTCTTGCATTGGCTGTTACAATTTATGAATTAAAAAAAAAAAGCGACGGTTTCTAAAACAGTTTTTAGTACGATCCATACTAAATTCTGAGTGGTGCAGGTAAAATTTAAAGTCTGGTGGACATAATTTTGAATGTTACATGCACCATTGTACAGAAAAAAAATATTTTTAGCTATGTACATAATATTGGTCTGCAAAAACTGCAAGTGAAAAAATTTATTGGCTAAAACATTAACCACACAAAGCGTATTCAAGATGCTTGCTAGCAATTGGAGATCCAGATTAACATTACTATTAATACTACTAATATTTATTAACATGCTGAATTCACACACTGTGATTAATATATGAACAAAATGTCAGATTTGGAAGTCAACTGAGCATGAAGCTTTTACCAGGCTTGCTTCATGCACACTGACTCTGAACCCAGGCTGCTGAATATGAAGTATGAAATATTGCTGTGAAGTGTCAAGTTACATGAATGTCAAGCTGTACTCAGAAGGGCAGAGGGGATATATCAAGGAAACATTGTCTGGGCCATGCAAAATCTGTTTTCAGGTTCAATAACAGATTTTCCTTTAACTTAAAGTCATCCAATGCAATTTCAGGTCGCCAAACCCCCCCCAAAAAATATATATATATTCTCGATGAGGAAATCTGTCCGATATTTACTGCCATTTCTGAACACATTTTTTGCATCATTTCATATTTAAAGCAAATTTGACATAGCCCCAAAATAAGCTTCGTGACCTAGGATCCCTTTATTTTTGGGTACCACCCATAACTAGCTAGGACCAGTTTAGAATACAAAACGTAATCGTTTTCTGTTACACAGTAGTGCCTTGTAGATATTAGTTTGCTCTGGAATAGGGCTGATTCAACTTAGGCCACACCGTCTTAATTTTATGGATGACATCCGCGCACACATTGATTTTCGTCTGTTATCAAAAAAAAAAGATCACGTCATCTGAGGCTCTGGCCTGGATAGTCCATGGTAGCTTGCTATATAGCGACAATACGGAGCTGGTGGTAACCCTGGAGGATGGCACCCAGGCTACCAAAGCTCCACGACTCAACACCTCAGTACACATACGTACAGTGCCGATTCATAAATCCGCAAAAAGCCAGCATGTGCCGGCCTAGCGTATATGTTGCTATGTTCTGCCGCAAATTTACAATACCAGCTTTGCCTTTGTATTCCTGTGGTTTAGTAGCATTTTTATTTTTCGCCGGATTTTTATTTTATTTGCCCACGCGCACTAGTTTGGGGGTCTTCAGAGGACGTCATCCATAAAATTAAGTTGGTGTAGCCTTACACTAAAAAAATGACCAGAAAATTGACTTTGAAAATCCAGTCTTAATGCCCTGAAATTGCTTTGGGTGCCTTTAACCAACCATACTTTACTTTAAAGTTTAAATCATAGTTTGACAGTTGGCTGATATAAAGAGAAACATGGGAAAGGTATAAGGTATTAAAACATTAGCATGGAAAATATCAGAAATCTATTTTCATTTTTCCAAATGGAATGACCTATTAGTACTACATTCGTTGGGTTCCTAATATTCATACTGCAATACACGTATATGAAGGCTTACAGCGGAATTGCCTTGTTGTATATCTACATGGACAAAGGTTTAGGGTCATTAACTACGATTAGTGTCATGATAAGTGAATTGGGCACTAAACTTTAATTCACCTTTGTTTCCGGGCCAGCGAATCTGATCTCTGATTACTAGTGGGTGGGTGCGTGTAGGAAGTACTCTTGAATAGCAATACGTAAGGCAGGTATTTCAATCAATGTTGAGTTAGCTCTGTCAGACGTGTTATACATGGTTGAACAGTTGATATACCGGACTACCCATCAGTGCACTTATCAATGAAAATCACGGGAGTAATATAGCCGTAAGGCCTAGGAAAAAATGTTGTGTTCTAGGCTTCTACTTCTAGCTGGCATGTATATTTCTGTCATTTGAGAAAATTTTGTGATCATGACAGATGAAAAATTTGTCACATCCATCATCTTTGACAGACAAAAATCGTTTTTTTACAAATGTGGAAAGAGAGGTCATTAAATTAAGCTTAGTCTGCCAGCAAAATGTAGCCTTCAAAATGTTGGAAAGAGCATTTCAGAGGGTCAGAGTGTCAAAATTTTCCCCCTAGGATTGTTGTGTTACGTGTTCGACATGATGTTACATCAAACAAAACTGAGACGATGTAAAAGAAATTTCAGGCTGGGTAAAACACTGATTTCTGGTTCCAGTCCTGAAAAAAAATAGGGTCCGTGGGTACCATTAGGGATTGTCTTCTTTCTTTTTTTCTTATTTGTTTATTGTAATGATTGTTACGACTTGAGGTACTAATAAATATTTGGTACTGAGTCTGAAGATACATGTAAATCCATAGTTGCTAATGCTAAACGACTTATTAGTATGAGTTTGCAGTTTGATCTACTAAAATCTATATTTCTGTCTGAGTGCTGCAGGTAAAATTTGTCCTGCGCAGGCAATTTGCATGCTATCTTCACCAGTGCAGGTACATGTATACAGAAAAAAATTACCCTGCCTATCTACTAAAAGGTAATGGTATTATCAAACTGTTTAGAGTGTGTACTGTATTTGGCATGTGTATTCAAACTCGACTCTGAGTGTGAGAAACACAGCTGATAATACATAATTAATAGCGGCTCAGATTTTTACGTCCCTTCATTGCTTTTGAAATCCAGGCTTTGGGCGAATAATAAAGCATATTTGTGTGCACGGTATATTTTTATGTGGCTGTAGCAAAGGCATGATATCAAGGGTAACACAGAAATTTTACACCTACATATCAAAAATAACTGCTGACCTACATAGACCAACAGTTTATATATTAACAGTTAGTCAAACACGTGGTTACAGTGTGTTGGTGGGAGGGGTGTTGACAAGGTAAACCAAGTACGCACCTTTGAATTTGGATCTAATGTTTGCCAGTTCCTTGTTTATCCGCTTCTGCTCTGCTTCTTTGCTTTTACCTGAAAAATAGTTTGGAAAAAAAAACTGTTAGAGGACTTTGTACACGTACATGATTGTGTTATTATCATCAGTAGCAGGGTTCTAGCTAGCACAATGTAGCGTAGGGGCCCCCTATGCTAAAATTTTGACCCCCTACGCTAAATTTCCCCCCTATGCTATAATTTTGACCCCCTACGCTAAATTTCCCCCCTACACATACAGCATAAGGGCATTGTGACTGTATTTCTTTGTTCAAGAATGCCAGATCAAATGTGGAAAATTAACAATCAAGGATACATTGTACATACCTTAGAAATAACATTTTTTTCCCTTTGGGTATCCCTCAAATGGCCCCTTTTTAACTCAAATTTTTAAAAGCTCCGTACCACGGAGGGAGGGCCCACTGACAGGCGGCCAGTACCACTACGCTAAAATTACATCCTAGCTAGAACCCTGAGTAGAAAACCGAAATGAATGAAACACTTACACTTGTACGGAGTACAAAGAGGTCATTCTAAATCTGATCCGATTTACATGAGAGTAAAGACCTGGCGGCACAAAAAATGCTAACGTTCAGATCGTACGCCAGCCCTCGACGTAACATATGATTTGATCGCACGTTCTTGGTGTGCGTCAAACTTAAAGTAGTCCGAAACAGGAAAAATTTGACGTACACAGTTTTCAGTGGTCGTAGCCACTATTAGAAAGGGGGAGTAAGCTAGATTCGCATTTTGGTTCTCCTTCAAAATTCTTATGTTTTTGTACTTTCAAAATATTGGATGAAAGGGTATCTTCTTTGTTGAGTAAATTTGCGTTTTTAATTTGACAAAATGACACAATGACATACGATATGCTCCATACAACTATGAGTATGATACTGGACACAATCCAAGTCCATCCTTTTGCCTTAATAAAGGACTCAGGAACAGAAGCTTCCATTTAGATTTACATGTACATTGTATATGGAAACAGAATGTCAAGTCACAATCGACAATGACAAAGCTACTGTCATATCAACCAACCAGCCTCTCTTTCTTTTTCAGTCTCGCTGGACAGAAAATACTTCATTTCTGTTTTCTCGAATATGCGATTCATGACATGGAACTCATATTTTTATCTTTTTAAACATCTGTATGTAATTTGTGAATTTGTACTTTTGTTATTGTTCCTGTTATAATATGGGCCTTTGTCCTATAGCAAAGAATAAATAGATAAATAAGTATTATAAATAAACAAATTTTGCTTGCCAAATTTGCAAGTCGTTATGATTTTTTTTCAGGACTATGATATTTTTTTTTTCTACAAATGATCACAGGTGGGTACTTTGAGCACTGGTTTTAGTGAAATACTTATAAATTATGAAAAAAAATTCTGTTTACCTGGAATGGAAATTTATTTTTGAAACCTTTATCTCATAAATAAGAAACATAAATAAACTGTTGAAGAGTTCCCAAACCCTTCACCGCCCCCCTCCCCCTTTTCACAGGAAGTACAGGGTGGGGCGTGCTAGCATGACGTCCACCAACCTGCGCCCCCCTCCCCCCTTAAAAACCACAACTTCAGTTTCCTGTGGAACGTTTCACAACAAAAAACACACCTTTTACTTATAAACATACTCTACAGTTTTCAAAATATTGACATGACACTACAGTGTAAGCAAAAATGTGCAGTGGTTCCGGTAGTTTTCTTTCTTTTCTTTTTTTTGCAAACGACTTACACAGGAAGCGGCTAGGCCACTGGTTGAAACTCTTTTTCGCTTTCCCGTAAAAAATTATTTTTCCCTCAAACACCGTTACACGAATGAATAATTAGTCTTATCTAAACCTAATTACCTCTCTACAACCGCTACACAGTTGTAGTTTGTAGCATTCTATCTTTGTGGGATGAAGAATTGTGCCTTATCTGAATCTGTGCGTAGGTAAATAGTGGCAAAAAGAAAAGATTTATATGGTCAAATTTTTGGGGAGGGGCGGCAAATATTTCCCTAACGTCCCGTGTGTCAGTCCTGTGACAACTCGGCACAAATCTGATACCGAGAGCCGCCGAAATCACCCTGCTTTCTTCTTAAACGGCAGACTTTAAAGTGTTTTGTGCATATCTATACGAGCTCTAGTCGCACGTGTGTGATTGTAAAAAGAAGGTAGACCAAAACGCGTACTTTGTGTATAACGTTCCCACAACCAACACTGGGTGGTACCGCCACATCCTTTCGCCATAAACGTACAACTCGGCGACCTTTCGACCCTGTAAACTACGCTGCGCGACTCAGGAGATGTAGGAGAGGATAATCTGAACGAACGTGGAGGTGTGGAGGAGTAAGGGAGGGGAGTACTCACAGTTTCTGATGTCGGAGATGAACACGGCGAGGCCGCGCATCCCGTCTCCCTTCGCCACGTTGGGCATGATCTCGGTCCCCCTGGCGAACGATCGGAACTCGCTGGCGAGCTGAAATCAACGTCACAACAAGGAGGTTCAGAGCGGGCAGCCGCTACAACAAACGTTCGTACACAATCCCGGGAGTTAGGAGTCCCTCCGGGTGCAGGTTTCGGTGAGATGAGGGGTTTTCTGTACGGTGGAAGTGGGGTGGATTTGCGCGTGAATGTCGGCCGCGGCACGTCAGAGTCAGAAAATGGCCGCCATGTCCGCTCGGCACCAGGACGAGGCTACCAACCCACCCCCTTCTCACGTGACGGCGCGGCGGGACGGAGCGACGCACAGCGGACAAATTTAGTACTACAGTCTTCAACTGCATGTACAATGTACATGTATATCTTGTGTACTAGTACTCGCCCAGTTGTCAAATGATATCAGTGGCCTATAAAACCAGGCTTCGGAAGCGGCTGGAAAGAGAAGAGATTGGCCAAACAGACGAATATGCTAGGGGAGTCAGTGCAGCAAATGTATACTCCCGTAGCGGACCAAGCCCCATGGCATGCTATTCGTCGGCAAATTTCTACTCTTTCCAGAGCCAGTTCTAAAGCCTGCCTGGCAGAGGCTAGTCAATATTATGAATCTACATATAAGGAAGGAAGAGTGCGAAATGCCTAGATATAGATCCACGAAACTTCTTTGCTTGCTAGAATAAGTAGAATGATTTCGCAAAGTGGAGGTCGCAGTTTGGAAGGTGACAGAGTCACAGTTGCAATTTTTATCAGCAATCAGTCAATCAAACTACCTGTTTTGTCTGATTGACTGAGTTAGAGACTGAAATAAACTCGCCCCTTTACTGTTCTCATGTAATCGCCTGTATTCACGTTTTATTCAATTTGATCATTCCCTGCATGAATCAAAGTATAAGATGATCTAAGATGGATGAATTATCTTGATATTGTACGCGTCAGACGGTGGACTCATATAGTATGACAACGTGTTAGAAGAGACGCCTAGTGGCGACTAATAATCATGCAGACAGATATAGGTATTCGAACTCATCCATGAATGACGATCTTTATTGCACATTCTTGCTTGTGAGCACAGTGGGCTAAGTACAGGTCACAACAAAATACGACGAACGCTTAACAGATATAATAAACAAAAAAAAACTTACTATGATTAGATCAAGGACATTAATGTCCTTGATTAGATGAATTCAAATTTTCCTTGCCTTTCAGCTCATCAAGTAGGCAAAATACTATCCAATTGGCTCCCGAAAATCTGCGACAGGGCGCACAAGGCTTCGAAAGCGGGTGGAAAGAATAGAAATCGGCCAAAATAGACGGAAAACATGCCAGGGGAGTTGGATATTCATTTACTGCACCCGGGGAAATGAATGCTATCCTACAAAGACTATTAACAACTAATTGTTAAGACAATCTCTTTCAGGCGCCAGGTACTAATTGTTGCCTAATTAACTCTCGTTTAGAGAGTACTAGTAGATACGAATTACGCCCAGGCGTTTACCACCCCTGTCTAGAATCATGGAGTTAAAATCTTGATTTTAACTCCATGCTAGAATGAAAAGAAGACCTTATCGATATCTTCGAGAATGGTGTCGTTGTAACGATTTTACCGAACTTGGTGGAAAATTTCCATAACATAAGTACTGTATGTTCTCCATTTTTGTTATTGGCTCAAATATATATAAAAAGCAATAGTTTATAATGCATGAGAATGACATATGTCTATATAAAGGTTATGGTCATTAAAATGATCTCTACAATGTTTCCAAGAACAAATTAAATGTACGCAAATTGAATAATTTTGAATTGCGAAAGATCTAAGTAAAGACAGCTGATGTACGATAGTATCGAATGAGTCAAGATGGCGGCCGTCTTGAAAACTTGGGTCAAATAAAGGAAAGACTTCTTCTCCAAGGAGTCAAGGACATATTACAAGTGCCACGGTAAGTGTGCGCTTCCTTGTTATACCGAGCTTACAAATTCCAGGTAGGGGTGGGAATGTAACAATAGTGGTCGCGCTGTCAATTTGTAACGTAAGGTGTGTGTGACACTGTGTGTAGTGGCGTCGCTGATATACATGAGGCTAACGTAGCTGCGTAGATCTTTCATGTGTTGATACGTGTATAATAACGTTACATTACACCACAAGTTGCCGTAGAAATTTTAGTAAGCCATTCTAGTAAAAGTGAATCGATAGTGGCAACCAAAACAATGCTAGCGTAACTTGCTGAGCGAGGGCAATTTAAGAAGTTTAGAACAATTTTAGAACAGATTGGCGAATCAGATTGGCCTATGGGAGGGCGGCGTTGTTCTAACTTTGGTGGCGGTATTATAGTGCGATGTTGGGTTTGTAATAGAATAAATCGTTCTCGAAGACGCAAAATAAACACAGATTAGGGTAAAAATGCATTTCTTGGAACGGGCGATGGCTCTACACTACAGTTTTAAACTGTTGGCGTCTTGTTCATGTACTTAGTATATTGACGTGACATGAGAGACATCTAGCGGCGGGTCACTATAATAACAGGCAGACAATGATTCACTTCCTTCCATGGAAAAGCTTGATTTTCTTGTTGTTTAATTCGTACAGTTCGATTTGTTTTCTGAATTTTGCTACAAAGTAAATGTAGTAATAAAAGAAAATAAAAATCCAGTCCTCAAATGTTTGTTTGGACTTCAAAAGATCAATTTTTGTGACCCGGAAGCATGATCATGAATGCACCTGTCGCCGCACAAGACGAAATAATGAAAAAAGGAGAGGAAAATGTATAAAAATATGGAACGCTTCACGAATTTGCGTGTCATCCTTGCGCAGGGGCCATGCTAATCTTCTCTGTATCGTTCCAATTTTAGTATATGTGTTGCCGAAGCGAACACGACTGTACAAGGAATCACTCCTGTATATATAGGACGATATTTATTGTCTGTTTCAGCCAGTGGTATACTTCCAACAACCGATCTGAACGTTTGCCAGATTCCATTTCTGTGAGGCAACAGTATACAGTACAGCTGCCTTCCAAAATATTTCAGTACTTTAAATTACCCCTCTTAGGGCCCCAAAATCACCATACGGAGCATAAGTGTACCGTTTTAAACCATTTTACATGCCCACTTTCGCAGCGGTAGCGTGCTCTATTTAGATAAAGGCGAAGGGGCGTCATATGCGCATGCGTGAATCAGGTGGCCCCCTGTAGCTGTATTGGACAGGTGCCATCTGGCGAGGCAGCTGCACCTAACAGAGACCCCTTGGGACACCTGACAAAGAAATACCGCTTAAACGGTTAAAAACGCCTTATTTCAGCAAAATATGTGCTCAGGAAATAATTTACTAAAATTCAAAATTTTAAGTGTTGTCACTTTAAGAATCCCGTCGTAAAAATTCCAGAGGCGCCGCCAAAAACGTCCACTTTCGGTAAAACAAAATCTCACACACTTCAGCTGCGTCTCGCCAGGTGTCGCCACTGTACTGTAAAGTTTACAGGGTGACGTCATTACCAAGGAGACGTATTGAAACATGGCGGCCGCCTGGTTGGTGATTTGATACCCACAACATCACTTCGACCCGCCTTTTTGTCTTGCTAGATAACCGTTCGTCTATATTTTCATGACCTATGCTTGGAAAACTTACCAGGTAACCAGGGGACGCAATTTAGGTAAGTAAAATCGTTTCGTTTCGTTTTTTTCGGGCCAGTTTTCTTCGTGTGTTCGTCGTGTTTTGGTTCTGCACACAAAGCGTACGGAAATATGTCGACCAAATGGGGAGGGGGGCATCGGAAAAACATCTTCTTTTTTAACGAATCTCATGATGCCTTCATGATGTTTATGATGTCTTTATGCTTGTGGCTAGTTCCTAATTAGTTGGCGTATTCTACGAGGTTTGTCTTGTTGTCTAGAGTCTGTATCACGCCCAGCGACTTTGTGTTTAATTTTGTTCGATGTTCTATTTTCACAAGGACCCACTAATTATGTTCTAATTAGTCGTTCATTAGCACATGATCAATACTTGTCAATCCAAAAGTACTGCACAGAGTGCTGCTGCGTCTCAAAAATACAAAACTTCCTAATCATTAATGTTATCACTTAAAAATTGTTGTATTCGAGAGAGATTTCAACGTAACCATTTAAAATCTATCTGTGATTATGAATAATTACTGGCCAATTGTATAATACTTGGGATTTACACAACAAGTTCTTAGGTACTGCTGCAAAAGCAGATTTCTTGTGTAGTTTTTTTTTTTACAGTGTTTATCTGTTATACAAATGAACATTTGAAAACAAGTCTGTCCATGCTGTAAATGTCTTCAGAATATGTGTATTTGTCAAAGATTGTAGACATTTTGGCAAGATAAATTTTGTCTTTATTTGAGAGCAATCTTTATAGAAATGTTGGTTCTTAAAACACTCCCTTAGCACCCTCTTAATAAAATGGCCCCAGTTAGGGAGGGGTCCAATAAGTGTTTTTTTTTTCATGAACATATAATTGTTTTGGTCAATAGAGCTTACTGTTGCCCAGACCAATAGCTTTGCTTGATCCAAGTGTGTACTTCAGCTTTTCAAGACTGGTACTTTAGAAAACCAGTCTGACATGAGATTAGGATGCACATTTGTACAGCTGCCTGTGTCTCTCAATACACACCTGCAACTTGGATTTCATTAACAACCTTGTGTTGCAACCCCTATCTCTCCTTTATACATTAGAATTGATAAACACCTTAACCTAGAAAAACTCCCAGTTTAGTGATCCAAATTCACAAATTTCTCATTAACAGGGTTGCATTCTATTGTCTGAATTTAGCGGGTTAAAAGTTGCATAATTGGCAAAAGTTGTCGAGACTAGTTTAGCCCGAAACACCTAAAATTTCTTTACTTAATGTTCCTCAACAATAATAACAGTAAAAGTGGAGTTTGTGTGCTGTAAAGCATTGCACTTATTCACTCATTGTCCGGTTTATTGTATATATATATATATATATATATATATATATATATATATATATATATATATATATATATATATATGATATATGATATATCATATATGATAAAAATTGAATGCAGTAAACTTTTTTCAGATACAGCATTACTAGTCATAAACAGCGAACTACTATCTTTCAAGTAATCAGTTTTATAGCATCAGCAAGAAACAACAGTGCCCTTTTCAAGATAACAGAATAAAACGTTAAACTGTATAAATCATCTGAATGTAACTTCAATGAGCTTGCTATCTCAGTGTGGCTGTTTTGCCTTGGGGTACAAACAGAGATCCATACAAAACATTACCTGCTAGGTTACCAGACTGACAGGCCAGCTTCCAAGAACATGCCTGCAAATATCAGAGTTATCAACCAAGAATCGATGTGTTTCCGTATTTCCCCAGAACTATCGCAGACTAGAACTCGTCGCCACTGTTGACAGTTGGGGCATCATCACTAGAAAGCTTTAAACAACTCCTGCAATTAAAATTTTAAATGTGCAAAGATTGAGTGTAAAAATTAAAGTCGTTCGGTGTGATATGGCTAGCTGCTGCTGCGCCGTGTGCCTGCAAAGCTGGTGTGTTTTACGCCGAAGGGTGGTAATGCTGGCTATACTGATACAGATACAGAACATGTCTAGCTGTATACTTTTTTTATCAGTTTTAATTGAGCAGATCCTTAAATCATTGTATAAAATATAATAAAGAATCCAAAGCAACAAAAATTTCAGATGTGAATTTGAAGCTAAATTCGCACATGGCTTTCAGATAAAGTGTATTATTCATTATTCTGTAAGATGCTATATTGGTTTTGTAACATCCTACAAGAATGATATTAGCTGAAAATTAGGTTGTGGAGTCTGTAAAGTAGAATTGTGACCATTCAAGTGTACACAGCCCTCAGGGAGTGCAATTATAGAGTTGTTTACTTTAATGTTGTCATGGGATACGAGACAGAAGACAACCCTTCAAGCGAAAAATTCATAATCATATCATACAGATCTATTTAGTAGTCTGTCCTGTAAAGAAGTCTACTGATGAGAGGGTCTGCATGGGGGACCCTGATAATGCGTTATGGTGAATTTAGGGGAATATGCAACGCATAGCGGTAAATTTCTTAGTAAGGTCACTTTCTTGTGTTTACTTCATTCGATTGTTTTTTATTTGATTGTTTATTTTTTTTGCATTCACGGGGTGTCTGACAAAACTGTTTTGCTGACGCCAAAGTTGTGTTGTGATTTTTGGGCAATCCTGCATGGCCATGCAAAGAATTTTCAATAATAATCAAAGAAAAATCAAACTCTATTACTGGATAGATTATGGAGATAACTTCTGGATGTTTCGAGTGACATCCGTCACTCTTCTTCATCGTCAACAAATAAACTGAGAGCACAAAATGACACTAATGATCGCATATGAAGAAACTGGAAAAAACAGTTAAACATGACAAAGACTTGTTAGTGTCTGTTATGTAAATGAGGATAAGGTAGTTCCTATGGCAAGACAATACTATTATATAGGAACTGCTATTGCTACTTTCAATAATGCTTGTCGCCTGAGCATGAATTCAGGATAAGAAATAAGGTACAATTAAAGTGTATTTCGTGGATGATTTCCTTCACTTAACATTAAATCAAATCAGCTCAGGCTACGATTAATGGCGAATCAGAATGGCTCGATCGGATAAGGAAAAGGGCATGCAGACCCTCTAGTTAGTAGAACCATGTGTGTACTTGTAAACACCAACACAAAGAGTTCTCATGCTTCTAGGCGGTGCCACATTTGCGCGTTGTCTGGATACCCAGTCAGCTGTCAATGTTACAACCTCATTACCTTAGGACTTTGTAAATACCCTCGCGAACCAAATTGAATTTCATTAGGTTAAAAAATCTCCTGTTAAACAAAAAAATGAAAGATACACATACAAACATATGACAAGACATGTAAAATTTGATCCAGGTGAATGTAGCATATGAGATATTCGAGCGCACCTTTCTTTTTGGATAAACTTACAAATTTAGAGATTTAGTATATGTAAACTTTTAAAAGAACGTAAGCTTAAAAGATAAGCTCTGAGTAGGACATTCTAAACATAATCACTAGAACCTATTCAGCCAAGTTCAGGTCTCAAAAAAGGATTCTGTGATTTTATTTGTGTTTTGGAAACATAATTTAACTTTTCTTGTTGCCAACAATGCCCTTACTTGTAATGTGTATAAAAGGTGGGGCTACCGCTGCTAACAGCCATGTCCATATTTACTCTGCCTCACTTGACGTTTTAATGGATTTAACGTCCCCAACTTTTCACCTGGAAGCCATGGACACTGCTTAATGTGAGACATTTAGTGTTGCTGGAACAATATTGGAATTTACAACTGTTACACACAGTAACAATTTAGACTTCAGACTAAGGTATGCTGCAAGTTAGTTGTTGTGATACATGTAGTTTAGACAGGGCTCCTGGTAGAGAATGCATTGTGTCCTACTTTCAAGTTGGCGGAAAAAGATATCGGGTACAGTAACAATATCTTGTAACAGGTATATACTGGGGCCAGTCAGATAATTTTGTCATACGATCAGGGGTGCCAGAGTATACAGTGCAATATTACGGTATACAGTGCCATCGTACTGCACTGTATTCCGTGAAATTACATAATTTTTATACTAATACAATTGCACTGTATTCCATAAAGTTGCACTGTATACTAATATGATTGTACAGTATACCGTAAAATTGCACTGTATACTCTGGCACCCCTGACGATTGTCACTCAATCACAATCTGGGGGCATTTTACGGATAGTCGTGCATAATTATCCAGCAAAGTTCAGCTGTCCTGTGATTAAAAAAAAATGTTTTAGTTCCATGTCTTTGGTTAGTTCTGTCAAAGCCATCTTGAAAATTCTAATTGTACTTTCAATTGACAACCTGTATACAAAGTTTCATCCTGATTATCTCTGCTAAATGTTTGCATCTGAGGAAAATGTTGACAGTGCAAATGGTGATATTTAATCCATGCAGGGAAACAAAGCATAATATTATTATTTATTACTTGGAATACTTGCAGTCTAGTTTAAGACAATTCAAACTCTTCTTAACACCTGGATGAAATATGTAGATTACTTCTAAATGCTTTGAGTGAGTGACATCTAATTATATCTCTCTTCTTCAGCTCACTACAGCATATCATAAAAAAAAACACTAGAATGATATCGTTTGAGTAAGTTATAATGATATCTTTTATTTCAATTCAAAGTGTTCAATCTTTTAATAACAATAATAACTGTCATACATTGTAGATGTATATAGGGTGACTGTATAGTATTATTACATGTCTTAACCTCGATTTACAATACTTAAACCATGCCATTTGCATTCAATAACAAGTTTATATATGCTAGAGCGGGTGTCTCTGAAATTGAGTCAGATGCATGAACAGTTTTATCTGAATGATTGTACAGGTTGAAATGTCAATGATGACTACATGAACGTGATAATTATTCTGTGTCCCCACCGACCCCAAAGTTTATCCCTGTTGCCCCTGTTGCTAGGACAGTTAAGTATGTCATTAAACATTTACATCATGGCCACGGCCAAAATCAAAGTGAACAGCAGATTGTGTCTCAGGTACGCAAAGAAGTGACTTTTATTGTTCCTTCCTGTAAGGCATGTCTTATTATCAAGCCATTAAGCTCATTTCTGTTAAGAGTTTCAACAAATTATCATGATTTGGTGAGATGTCATGGCTGAATAGAAATGCTGCCAAATTGTCCTTGCAATTAATTATAGTAGATGTCGACATGTAAAATCTAACACAAAAAATCATTGTGCTCGAGGTCTTTTGTTTTTGCTTCTATTTTTAAAAGACCATTGATCATAAAGTAAAAGGCAAACAACTTAAAGCAAGGTATATTATCCCCTTTAAGATCATTCTTCTTGTTTTCAGCATAATATTATAAGAAGTAACTTAGTTAAACATTTATTGCCGCTGACATATATTCTGTATGTAGGATGACGTTATTCATACAATGTACATGTATTTAATTGTTTAACAGATCAGTTCTTTAATTGTAGAAGACCATACAAAAGTCCCTGAGGTACTTTTTGTTGAGTCAATAAAGAATCTTAGTATGTAATCTTTTTTCTTCCCCCCACAGTAGACGGTTGCAGCCATGTCGAAACGCGAGAGAGACAAGAGAAGTAACTTATTTTGTTTTTCCTCACAGTAGACAGTTGCAGCGATTTCAAAAATGCAAGAGAGCCAAGAGAAGTAACTTATTTTGTTTTTTCCCCACAGTAGACAGTTGCAGCGATTTCAAAATGCAAGAGAGACAAGAGAAGAAACTTGTTTTGTTTTTTCCCACAGTAGACAGTTGCAGCCATGTCCAAACGTGAGAGAGACAAGCCCAAGTCGCTGTCCTCCCACAAGCTGGGCCGTTCATCCAGCGGGAATGTGAGTTATGAGGACCTGATCGTGGCACAGTATCTGGACGAGATCAGGAAAGCCACCAAGGACAAAGGGTGAGTGGAAAAAATAAGGAACTAGAAAAGGTTAACATTTGCGTTGCAAATGCATCATGTTTACCTTGAAAGTTCGCATATGGTCTGCTCTTATTCAAACACATTATATACAATGTACATGTATATGATCATGACAGGAGTCTAAATCCCTCCTGCTATAAAATTGCAACATGATGTATAACCCAACACTAGTGACCATAGTGACCACGTCTGGTTCAGGTCATTGATCTTATTTGTTTGGAGAAGAAGAGGAAGAAGATACAGAGCAAAAACAATATGTTTAACGGAAAAAAGGCCCTGTTCCCACTAGAATCAAAATTGTCCGGATTGGGCTGAACCGATTGACAACTGACTTAGCAACCAGCTTTGATCTGGTCAATTTTACCCCAGTGAGAACACCCAATTTCAGGCTCAGGTTAAGATGAAGTCTGTCAGCAACAGTCCACCTCACAAGGTGGTTCGTATGGCTGAACCTACAGATCAAGACAAACCAAGCCGGATAGAGAGGGTTCCCACTGGGGTAAAGTTGACCAGATCAAAGCCGGTTGCCAAGACAGTTGCCAGCTGGTTTGGCTCAATCTGGACAATTTTATTCTTTAGAGAACAGGGCCATAGTTTCACTTTTATTGTATTACTGTTAAGTGGAAAGTTGGTCTTGTGGTTAGGGTTGTTGAGTCCAAAAAAGGTTCTGGGTTCAATTCCATGGCAGGCCCCTGTTACTGTTGTGTTCTTGGTAAAGGCACTTTACCTATTTCCTCACTTGACTCAGGTGAAAATGAGTACCTGGCATCAGTTAGGGATGTCCTCTTGGATGGGACATAAAGTCAGAGGTCCTGTGTTTGAGGAGAGCCACTACTTGCAATTGTTAAAGACCATACCACATCCGAGTATGGAAAAGAGCAGATTCCATGACTGCAGGTGTGAGTGGTTGAAACCTTACAGTCTGCGTCAGGGTTGATATCTTGAAAAGGTGACAATCACAGGTGTTATGTCAATCCATGAAAACTATGAAACTAAGTTAAAGAATTGTCCTCAGCCAGTTGAAGAACTTGTCTACGAAATCAAAAGACGTGGATGATCGTTTCTTCTTTGGCCCAGAGCAGGATTTTCCGTATTGCTTGCTTGCCATTGCTTGCTTGTAAGTTTCTGCCTCCACTCATCACTTGATGTATGGATGCATGGAATGTCTGATGCCTATATAGTGTCCACCTTGTACTCCTTAAGTGTCACTTATATTTCACATGTACATTATGCTCATATACAAATGTATGTACTAGTAGAAATTCTATGTGACAAAGCATTTCAATTATAGCATGTCAAATTCTACACTACATTTGCTTGCAATTTTTGCAGCCCATATGCCACAACAAATTCAGTGGTATTTTTAGGACAACCAAAGGAAGAAAATTAATTTTGACATCATTATAGGCGTCGATAATATACAAGGTCATATGCACAAGGTCATATACAATGTATTATTGATTCACAGTCACACCCACAATTTGTCACAATCATATTCAATTAAGTTACCTTAATTAAGAATATTGTATGAGCCAAAGACCTGGTGACTTTGATATACTACATATAGTACCATAATGATTATAAACGTACGGGTCAAAACAATTCTAGTGACCACCTTTTATTTAGAAGGATCACCTGGCCAATGTGGCCACTATTTGATGGTCCCTTATAGTATTGTTTCCAAGGCCACACCATCCAATTTAATTTGTTGGTTCACGGATTGGCCATCTCAATTTTTTCCTGATTCGCAAAAAGAAAAAAAAAACATTTCAGGCTCTGAATCAACTCCAGAATGCTCATATTTTGGGCTCATATTTTGATTAAAAGTTTGAAATTCATATTTTTGTTTGCAAGTACAAACCAGCCTGGTATGTTGACTTCATGGCTCCTATCAGTAATATTTTTTATAGCTATAAAGCCTATAGCATTTGGGGTTATCATAGGATACCTAGGTCTGTTTTTGTTATAGTTTTTGGCCCTGTCGCTTCATATTTTTTCTGAAAAAATCTGAGAATCAACAAATCAAATTGGTGTGACCCTGGGGCATTAAAATCTTGTATATACTGGTGACCTGTGTACTGTAACATTTTGTTTCATGTCCCATGTATGAATTGTCATCGTTTAGATAATATTTATGATTGTTGATCAGAAGTAATATGCAGTTTGATATCTAACAGTTCAACATCTATCAAATCATCCACCCAAACACATGCCATAACACTATTATGTCATAATAAGTGAAAAGACAGAGAAAAGACAAAACTATATTTGAAAACATTCAGTTATGATTAAAAGAGCTACAATCAGTTAGTAGTTACTAAATGTCATTACCTAATTGTGTCAGTGTAACGGTTCAGTCATAAATTGACCCATAATTGGAAAAATTGATTCACTTAATGTGATAGAACAATAACAGCAATGTCAGTGCCACTATAATGTGACAGAATAATGACAATACATAATTATGCCATGTACTATACATCTAGAACAGTCAATGGATACTGGTTAACTCTTAGTAATTATACCAAATTCTATCTAGCAAAACAGTATGTACGTACATGAATTAACTTTTGCAAGTTTCCAAGCATTTTCTTTAAACACTTTTTACCTGGAAATAAAGAATTGAAGTCAGGAAATTCCTTTTCTGTCCCTTGTGTATCATTAAAGGCATCCAATGCAATTTTAGGGCAGCAAAACAGAAACATTCTGGATTGAGGAAATCATTTCTTAGTATAATTTTTGGTTATCATTTCATACTTTATGAAACAACAACAATAATGAAACAAGCAACTGTTTTCGATCAGCAATATCCCATTCTTGCCTAACAAATATCAGAAAGCTAATTATTATTATAATATGGGGTTGATTGAACTTACTAAAAAAAATGACCAGAAATTTGACTTTGAAAATCCCAAATTTTCACTGCCCTAAAATTATTGGATGCCTTTACACTTACTAGTGGTACTTACTGCTAAAATGACACATCACATACTACCAGACTGAGTAAACAAACGCAATTACATTTTGTCATCCATTGATGAAAACTTCAAACTGAACTTGACAATTCTTACTAAATATAGTGACAGAAAATCACAACAAAATGCAACTAATATTTAACTTTGGCCTACATCATTCTCTTTTCTAATTAAAAAAAAATATTGACAATATCGTGACAAAAATGGTACAGATAGAGTTACTGTTAACAGTAATAATCTTTGAATTCATCTATTCTTGGCACAACTTACTACTAGTAGACAACTAGTTTATGTTCCAATATCAAATCTCCCTTTTATGTTCTTATATCATGTGTGATGTTGAATTTGAGTCATTCCGTTGGTGAGGTGAAATACGGAGCATTGGTGATGACTCCTGTCAGAATAAGTCAATGCCTGCATCCTTGTGATAAGCTAGATATACTGTTCCATACGCACACATCTCATATACCATTGTACGCAAACTCATAACTGTGTTAAAAGTAATACTCTAATACTGTCAGTTTATTGTACAAAAGGATAAGCTAGCAAATTGTCTAATATTTGAACAATATACATTCTTTAGAGTAATATTGTTACTTTATGCATATCATAGGCTTCCTTTTATTTCGTAAATTATATGATCCCCTAGGTCCTTTATATTTTTCATCAGCTTATATGGTGATGGTGATATTATAAGAGTATGAAATATACCTCAATAAAATAACATACACGCATACTCTAAATGTATAGGTTCATAAGAATGTATTTGTACATGTGTGAGTTGTACATTGTATTTGTACATGTGTGAGTTGATATAAATGAATGTTTGTTTTATTGTCACTCCCCTGGGAATAGCATGTCAGTCAGCGTAAAGGTCACCGAAGATTTCCTAGTAATATCCATTCTCATATCACGGCTCAATGACAGTTTACTAATCAGAACTGAAATCATTTTCCACATGAAATCACAGTTCCCCATGTAATATAAATGAGATTTGAGGAATGTTAAATGCTATTCAGTTACAGTGTGTATTTGTGAACATTTTGTGAAGAGAGGAAAGAGGTAAAAAAATCAATATAATGGCAGTGGTACCATGGCAGCGTGACCTCTAATAAAACATGGCCCCTCGCAGTGAGCTCACGTTAACTCATAGTTCTGTAATCTAATAAAAACTGAGAGATATACGGTAAGGGAAACCACAAAGGGATGAGTTTATCATGGTGCTGAAAGCTTGGCTGTTGTTAGGAACGAGTTGTGATACGTAGAGTGGAAGGAGTCAAATTTTGAAGGACGTTTTAGAGGAGAGAGAGATTATGGGTTTACCTCTGTAGCCATTTTGGCTGGAGGATCCTGGGAGTGGTGAAACATGCTGCTGATTTTCTCCCTACTTTCCGAGAGCATCTCGCTGACGGCCTTGGGTAGCGGAGACTTCGGGCGCGGATGTGGCGACTTCGGCGGCTCCATGTTGGTTCAGACTCTTACGCGTAGTACAGGGGCTATCTCGTCACCTCCACGGAGGGTTTTTTAGACTGAGGAGGAATGTTCCGTGATTAGCATGCGTGGTAATTAATTTCCCTCTCTATATGGATGGGCTGGGGTGGTCCCAGGTGACAGGAGAACGCGTCGGAGGCTTGCGGTGGTTAACGCACGCCGTGGAGAGGGAAATCACGGCACCGCGGACGTTACCTACGACAGCCCGCCCACACTAAACACCCAGCCACACACTGTGTTATGGTGAATCATGTGTTTCCACTTAAGCTGGGGGAATATATTATGTAGAAAGAAGGGTGCACCCGAGAGATAACACAACAGACGTGGCGTGGAATTTGTGAGGAGTGTGTCTTTGATGTGGAACTTTGCGTATTAAGTGACAGCACACGAGGGTTATGCATGGGGTACACGTCAAATTCCAATGAAATGCAAAGGAGAACGCGGGGAAATAACCTCGGGACGGGCCGACCCATCATTCTTTGTCGTGGGCGTCAAACTAGGAGGGACATTTTGAACCCGGACTGACCCATTTTGTCTACAGGGGGGGGATTGGGTGGAATAAACATTTTTTTTCTAGTGTAATTTGATTACTGATAAATCAAAACGTGACAAGGACTTTGTGTTGTCTATTCAGATTAAATTTTAAACCATACAATATCAAATATCAATGTAGAAATTGTGTAGAAATGGAAATGAAATGAAAACAATTGGAAAAGGAGAAAAGAAAATTTATGACAGTTAGTGATTGTGAATTCATTTCCGTGCGACAGGAGTGTCTTCAGTGATGTGGCAGTGCGTTTTCTCCTGGCATGAATATTTTATGAGGCGTTACACTGACGGGCACCTGTGAATTATCATCAGTACTGTACTCAGAACTATGTGGTGTGGGGGATTAGGGATGGTGCATTAATACCACAAAGGGAGGAGGTGGTTAAATTCTTTTACAGATATTTCCATTTTAACTTAAAAGACTTACATTGGAAAATGTAGTATTTTGTTTCTGTATCAGTTTAAATTAAATTATCAGCTCATTTTATTATTTTTTTGTATCTTATGTTTTAGAAGAGAAAGGCAGTGCAAAAAGGGGTCTTTCTTCTTCTTCTATCCAATGTTAACATCATTTCTCCCCAAAACGAGGGTTAGACGTGCTTGCATCAAATGCAAGTCTTTTTTGGAGCAAGATTTTTACGGCTGTGGTCTTTATAACCGATAATCCTTATTTTCAGTACCAAGGTCATGGACCAGTTTAGAAACAGTCCAATGTTACACTTAGCAATTGTTAGAAATATATCATGATCTTCCATGAATCTGAATTACCTAGTATACTTGTAACTATTCCAGTTTTGTTTATATCACATCATTACAGTGTATTTCACATAATCATAACCTGAATAAACTGCCTTTAGGCGTAACATACATACTAAGTATACATGTTGTACAGTTTTTTATATCATACCAGGGCCGCGATAACGGTACGGCCCGGTCCGGAACCCGTTATCGAACGCTTCCATGGCTTCCATAAAATTATTCGAACGTGTTTCGCCCTAACTGCGTGTGCCCCTTTCAAAAATTCGAATACAGAATCCGGACATTGGAATTGATGTTGTTGCATTTTAGGGTTTAGTGGCACCAACTTTTGGCTCATCTTGCATTGAAAGGCGTCTTTTCTTGGGTGGGTATGACATAAATAAAATACAACACGGTGTATTCCGCATCGCCCTCGGTCCCGGCCCTCCCGCGAGTCGGATTGCCCTCCGGCCTGCTGTGTAAGACCACACTGTAAGGTGCAGCCCTCCTCAAATACAGGACCACTGGCTTGATGTCCCATCCAAGAGAATGTCCCTAATGGACTAATGGTACTCATTTTTATCTGTCATTCAAGTGAGGAAATAGCTGTTAAGTGCCTTTCCCAAGGGCAACAACACTGGCAGGGGCTTGCCACTGCCAGGGATTCGAACCCAGGACCTTCAGATTCTTAGTCAACAACCCTAAGTACAAGACCACCTTCGTTGGTGGATGGTCCCCTTGTGTAGAAGCATGACTGTGAACAGCTGATAATGATACACCGCCCACGTACGTAAGCAGGAGAGAGATACGTGTACGAGAGACACACACGTTTGAACACAGGAACACAGGAATGCTGTTCCTATCAGGAATTAGTCAATTACAATATTATTAGATTGCATGAATAGAACAGTAGACTTTAGATAAGGTGTGTAAGTGGTGTGCTTGTGTGTGTTCATACATGTACAAGTTAGGCTAAATACAAATAGTGCAAATTTTTAGCCATTGAAAATACCATTATATACAAACTATACTGAAATTGTGATCCAAGATACATTAAAATGTGTGTGGTTTTACAGGACTGGTTTATATAGAATAAACTTCCCATCACTGCTTAGCCAGGAAAAAAACCTCAACCAAGGCTATTATCTGAGGGAAAAGTTAACCTGCAAATGGTGACCTCAGATCAAAAATGCAGGTTCCAAGGACATGTTGTCCTAGCCTGGGTGCCATCCGATTTGTAACGGCTACCCCTTTTTTCGGGGTAGCCATTAAAAATCGGATGGCACCCAGGCTAATGTTGTCCCAACATGGTGTAGTGGAAAAACTGTGAAATTTATTGATGCCTTTTCAAACCCATGGCAGTAGGGGGTTTTGTATACAGTGTCTGTGGTATTTAGTGTAAATACGGGGGTTGGGATCATTATACACTGGCGTGTGCCTGCCAGTTGTTTCTTGTGAAAATCAGGGGGAAAAATACCAGTTTCGTTCGAAATTCTAGCCAAAATATATATTATGCACACTCAAAACGACCTCCTTGCTCAAAACTGACTAATGGATATAGTTTATTAGGTTGCATTAGTTGAATCGCAGATAGTTGTAATTAACAGCTTGCATTTTCTAAACTGTGGCAGCAGTAGTATTGTACAATGTATGCATGGGCTTGACCCTCAATACTATCATTTTGTTGAAGCTACAAGTGAAATGGAATTACAAAATTCTTCTGATAGCCCACTATCATTGAAACAGGAGAAAAATTACTCAATGGCATTTTTAGTGCTCATTTTTATATCAACAGTAGTTTGACAGTTAATGATACTCTTCCAAGACAACTCAAATCTCCATAAAGCATTAGATGCCTCATATTATGTTTCAAAACGATCCTCACTACAATAAAGGCCGGATTAACCTAAGAATAACAGTTATTGGGTCCTTTGCTGGTGCCCTAATTCCTACCACCTGTATAACGTACACCTGCCTATTAAGGCTTCCTATCATTCTCCTGGCCTATTTTACACCTGAAGTCAAGCATGAAAAGGCAGTGTAAAGCATACTGTTCGCTATTGTTACGCGTGAAAGGTACGCTATCGCCTTACGCACACGGCCGTGTTGACCACGACACACGTTACAAGATAAACAGTTTCCTTCCCCAAAACCTGCCAGAATCGTCTGTTATCGTAACGACTCACTTTTACTTCGCCGTTATTCCGAAAACTTTCTCTGTTTTCACACACGTTATGGCGGTTACGTAGCGAAAAAGGCTGTCGTAGATATGGAAAGGTTTTTGAAATTGAGTGCGGGGTGAGTGCTTGCTTGGTTGAGTGGGAAACATTAATACCTAATAATAGGCTTTGTAAAATGTCTTCCTGTTTTGTGGTGGCCCTAACTGGTTTAAGTGCTTTTCTTCTTTTGATTGCAGTGAAGCAGCAAATGTAACACTAGTAACAGCTTTACAGTGTCCTGAACCCCTTCAGAATTATTGTGACACTATTTTCTACCCTATTTTGCATTCAAGAAGTACATAAAATGTAATTATTACAGTCCCAGATGAACTTTCATATCTTGAGGAATTTTTGTCCATTGCAACTAAAAAGAATTATAATTTAGGGTGGCTTGCTATTTTGTGTTGCTATGAAATGAAATAAGTCTTCAGAATTGATTATTATTACCTTTGTCAAGGTTATGTTTAGAGTTTGTATTTAATATATACTATGTGTGTTTAGCATGATAACTCAAGACTCTATTTGTGGATTTTCAATTTGGTGGGTAGATCTTTACGAGACCTTGAAATTGTTAGATTTTGGGCTGTACAACTGCATGATACATGACATAATATACATGTCTACTAGGTAACATTTATAATGACTAACTTTAAGTATTGCTCTAAAAAAGATAAATAGTTCAAAAGATGGCTTGTTAGAGTATTCTGTATTGCTGTGAAATATGATTTTTTTAGGTCACGTGTTTGGGTAAGTAAATTTTATGGATGACATCCTCCGCAGACTCCAAATCTAATGCGAAAGGTTAAAAAAAATCTCAACATTATCGGTTTTCATTTCAGATCCACCCACACCCCGTCACCCTACCTACAACAGCTGCTGAATGGAGGCATACGGTACGCGCAGGGACAGGGCACCAGCCCGGGGAAGGGGCCCGCACGGCCGATGTCCGCGTCCGTACGGGGCCGCTCCGACTCGCGGGAGAGGTCCAGGATCGATGCAAAGTTCATCGCAGATCCAGCAGCGTTCGAAGCTGAACAGAAAAACGTGAAGGAAAAGAGGAAAAGGCCGTCCAGTGCTCCAGCTACAAGAAATAGGGCCAGGTGGGAGAGAACAGCAATTGTACTAAAACTACCATAATTGATTATTATTATAATTTATGGCTTCACCACAAAGTGGTGAAGACATATTGTGTTCCCTCATGTTTCTTCTTCTTCTCCTGCCATTTCTTTAAATGGATTCATCTCTGCCATTTTCCGGCCAAATAACACGAAATTTGGCATGAAGGTAGAGTGGGCAAATACCCCGACGCTTTTTTTCATTTTTTTGAAAAATTGTTTTATTTGGGTTTTTTGGCCATTTTCAGGCAAAAAATATACATTTTGAGATCTGGTTCCCAGGTACTAAAACCAAATGACCTGAAATTTGGTATGGGGATACCTTGGACATATGTCTACAAAAAATCATTCAAGCTATTGACATACACCACTTTAAAATTGGGAAAAATAAGGCTTTTTTGCTATTTTCGGACCAAAAATGTACATTTTTGGCTCCTGTGCCCTAATATTAAATCCGAATGACCTGAAATTTGGTATGGGAATACCTTGGACACATGTCCAAAGAATGTCATTCACGGTTTTGACATACACCACTTTAAAGTTATGTAAAATAGGGCTTTTTGGCTATTTCCGGCATTGGAAGGTTCCATTTCTGCATGGGGGTGTAGACTATTGGCAGCCATCGTAGGATGGATCCATTTTCGGTATGGGGGATAGGGTGAAGCCATCTGCTGCATTTGCTCTCAAGCAAATGTCGGCCTTTCTAGTTATTATTATTTTTTTAATCTATATGTCAGCTCTCACTCAGCATTAGCAGCAGGACTGCCTTTAGTTAGACAGAACACTGTCAAAGTTTTGCGCTGAGGAAAGAATTAACTTCATGTTTGAATCTTTGTCCCTAATCTTAGCGATTTGCCCTTTATATGCAGACTTTGAAGTGAATATTAGTTTTAAAATTTGGAATTATTGTAGTTTCGTCACACGTAGCCTTACATTGTATCTTCTGAGTTCACTGTATATTGCACAGTGACGGTTAGCTATTAGTCTAATTTCTGATTGTGAGTTAACACTAGATGAGGTAGGAAATTTTGGGGCATTAGCTAGTAAAATTTGCAATATTATCTGCCCAGTGAACTATTTCATCAAATGCTTTTGTACAATCATGTATTTTTTCTTCACTCCTTGCAGGTCAAATTCCTTCTCCTCCTACGCACCACAGTCTTCTGCAAGAACAGGTGAGATAGATATTTGGATCAAGGCAAATATTTTGTAATACTAAGATCTGAAAAATAAAGTCACATTCTAGTAAGTAAACACATTAAGAGAGCACAGAAAAAAGCATTCTCATACTAGAAATATTGTCCTGTAATTACTTTTTTTGTGAAAGGCACTGTTTTGCAATATTACAGGAAGCTCCACAGGTGCAAAGATCAAACCCCTGTACAAGAAGCAGCCCAAAGTCATCACAGTCACAGCCTTTAAGAACGGAGGCAGGGATGTCTTCACCAGGGTTACTGCACCTACTATCAAGGAGGTAAGAGTCTATTTTCCTCATCGTTTCCCTACAATGTTCTAAATTCTTGTAATGTTGAATGTATCTGATAGTTTTGAATTTTGTAATAATCATATGGTATACCATATTGATTTCAAAATTTATTGGCTGATATCATTCTGCTTATTCATAAGAACACTAGGCTTGAAGCTACTGAAAGAAATGTAAACTCAGCCCACCATCGTACAGTCAATGTCTATTAAAAGGCAGTAAAGTTTTTCATCTTTACCCTAAGGAAAAATAAAGGAAAGTGATCTTGATCCAGTTTTAACTCATCGTGGAGCTAATCTCTTATTGGTCATAACAGAAAAGATAGACACTATGTGTACAGTATCTACAGTTTTATTGTACCAGCCTGAGGGAAATTCCCCTAGCTGTTTTCTACAATCACAATGAACAGACTGGATCACAGGTTAAGGTCCCGTCCTAAGGGCTGCGACCCTTTCCAGTAGCGTGCATGTTGAGTGAGCAACAACAGTCAGGATTTGAACTCCCAACCTCTTGGTTCCAAGGCAGGGTTGCTAACCACTGGACTATGCAACACTATGTACTAGATAAAAAGTGTCATGATTGTAAGACATAGTGTTTTATCTTAAAGTTCTTGTAAATTGTTCTCCAATGGCCAGTTGTTTTTGTTATTAACCTATAGTAACACGTAAGTCTTACTAATTTTAATCTGTAAACCCTGCAGCTTCTGGAGATGTGTACCATCAAATTGGGCCTGCTGTCTGCCGCCCGGCGCGTGTTTCTGACAGACGGTCGGGAGGCGTTCTCCCCCAAGGACATCCCTCGTGAGGCAGAGGTGTACATCTCACAGGGGGAGCCGTACAGGGACCCATACAAACCTGTCAAGAGTAAGGACGGCAAATTTTCTTCTCAAAAATAGACTGCACCACATTAAAAAATTTAAAATACAAAATAAAATTATAATATACATATTGTAAATGTATGTAACTTTGTATCAATTATGTAATGACATGTTATTTTTCTTCTAATAGTTGCTAAAAATAATTTATTTACAGCCCCCAAATATGTCATTACCAGCTGTATCACTTATATGTAGTTCTAATGTTGGTTGCTAATTTTAAGGAAGTACAATGTACCTTCAAGATAACATAAAAAGGCCTTACCAAAGATTTGGGCATGTGGATTAAATGAAACTCTAGTCCTCTATACCATATAGCTTTTTAATTTTTTTTCTATATAAAGTGGGCCTCTGGCAGCTGTCCTTGGTGCTGAAGCAGAACTTCCAAATTTTGTATCTTTCAGTTTTGTCCTGGACATGCTAGGGTTTTTCTTTAATTTTTTTTTTCTTTTGTGGCAGATTTGGTGGCTTTGGTCCCTTTAGCAGCATTTTGTGTGTCTATTTTGTAGGTGTATTTTGCCAAGACGAGTCAAGATAAAAAAAGCTATTGAGATCTGACAAGTATAATAGTCATGCCTTGAGTGTTATCAACCAAGGATTGAGGTGTTCAACTCATTTTTTCCTAGAACTATCACAGAGTGGAACTCACTGTCACCAACTACAGTAGGGGCATTGTCATTAGATAGCTTTAAACAATGTCTAGAGTTATATGCTCATGGGTTAGGTGTAACAAGTCCTTCAGTGTATTGTAGCCAACCTGCAAAGCCGGTGTGTTACACTGAAGGGCGGTTATACCAGCTGTACCTATACAGATACAGATAATCAAAATGTTGTGAATATTTCCCCAGCCCAAGAGCAGCTGAAACGCGGTGCCATGTGGACCATGAACGGGATTCTCCTCCCACAGGACGTCAAGAGGGGCAAGACCAAGTCTTCTCTCTCCAAGAGACTCAAGTATGTTCTTGTCAAGTTTCTTCAAAACCAAGAACATTCATTGTTATTACTCCATAATTGCACATTACTCCATAATTGCACATTAACGACACTTGGATACCGGTATTGTATGTTGTATATCAGAAGCCCAAACAAAGAGATAAAGACAAAGAAAAATAATCCAAAGTTGTTGTTTTTTAATCTGACTACTAGAACTCTTGTGGAGAAGAGAAGACATCGGATCCTGATCTTCCTCAATGGTCAGGGGGTCAAAGGTCAGGAGGTGGTGGCCTCTTTAGATGCACTTCAACAGGTAAACTCCTCTAGTTACATTTAAATACATGAAGTGTTTGTACATGTACAAGCCTTGGAGGTAGGCTTGTAGACAGCACATTCAACAGCCATGTGTACATCAGCCTAATGCATACACTACCAAAAATGCCATTCTTGTCTAGTCTATGTAGTATTGCATGTACATTGTATCTCCAAGAAAGGATAAAGTTATACTTGAAATCATGCAATTTTTGTTCAGTTCCCTTTTACACCAGTCCTTAATGTATATTGCAGGTAAAAAACAGATTAATTTTGTAATATTAAAAGATACAACATGTCACCACTGATTATCATGGTACTTGAAATTTAACTGACCAGATGCAGAAGAAACTGTGTAATAATACTATATAACAAATTTGTTTAATAGAAATAATACCAATTTGTTATGTAAATCATCCCTCCCCAGTTCCTAGATGCCTGTACAGGCTGTATGAGTCTGAGCTCTCCTGCCCGGGTTCTGTATGACTGGAGCGGGAAGGAGATCGTAGATCTGAACGAAGGTAAACTTTGCCTCCCTGCATTGCATTCAATGCCTAAAATTACATACATGTACATAATAATACAGTAACTATTATCTGCTTTTCGTGAATTTCTATATTTCAAAATTACACAGTGACTTTTTCATTAAATGTGGAAGGTGATAATTTTCTAACTTTAATTGTCTATTCTTTTCTCCCTCCCCCCTCAGCTGACCCCCTAGACAAGGTACTGCAGACGGCCACCACACCTGTCCTGGGACCACTGTGGGTCTCCAAGGGGGAGGGCTTCAGTCCTGCAGGGGTCGAAGGTCAGTATGGCAAACTTGATCAGAAATAATCATTATACCAGACAGTACAACTACATGTAGATACTGTTTTTTTGTGCTTTAGAGTTTGTTTCAGTAGTGCAATAGATTGTTCTACAAATGTATTGTCTTGGAATAGCACCAAAAAAAAAAATTATAAAATCTCATTTTTATCTGTTCTTTTGGAATTTGAGATTGTCTCTGGCCCCTTTTTCTTGTTTTTGATGTACATAAATTTCATTGTACATGTAGAATATACAATGAAGTGAGAAGTTTATTGCAAATCCATGCCCGAAGGCTAATTGCAAGTTACAAACATAGAAGAATTTGATACAAAGTATAAAATAACTTCAAAATGTACATTGAAATCTAATTGTCTAAAACCATTGCTATGTCTAAAGCTATGTCCAAAGGGTTTGACTTCTCTTTTGTAAACCATGTTTATCTGTAAGTTTTGGGAAATTTGGATAAATTGTAGAAGTTTGAATAGTCAACTCATTTTGAGTGTTGTTATGTAACGAACAGTATTTTGAGATAAAATATATTTCGTCTTCCACAGCCTTGATGAAGTATTAAGTGCTTTCTCATTCTGTGAAAAGATTATAATATCAGTTGCTTCGTAAAACTTTCTGAAACAACACACAGTTTTAATTTGTTTCCTGTTGCAGTTTACATCCAGGACGTGCTGCAGAACCTGCGACCGAAGCTGCGGGCGGCTAAAGACTACAGGTCACAGCTGCAGCTGGCTGAGTCAGGCCGGACAGGGGAGGTGGACAGGGTGGAGCTACTGTCTATGGACAAGACAGAGATCAAAAACGCTCTGAATGAGGTACATCATATATAGTTATTGATACAAATAAACATGTGGAAAGTTTAAATTTGTAAACAGATTGGAACCTGAGAGTTAGTCAGATGCCCTTAAAGTATTCAAGTTAAAGAATCATGATACAAATAACTTTTAATTGATAAATGATGATTAACTTTTATAAAAAAAAATAAAATGCATCAAGTACTGTAAGTCTCTTTAGATTCGCGGGGCCTAAAGTTCGCGGTTTCGGGAAAATGGACAATCCGCGGTATTTTTAGATTCGCGATTTCTCCTTGGCTATTTTTCAAAGAAAAATTTGTAAAAGTGTATATTTAAAATAATAAAAGTTCGTGTTCCGGCATTTATATCCTAAAACGCGGCGCAAAAATTTGTTTCGTGCACCGCGCGAGACTGCCGGCGGTCATAGCTGACGATCGATCTGACGCACGTGTAAACAATTTTCTTTGTTCGGAAATAAGCACTAAAACGCTATTTTCCACGACTACACATCGATACTCTAGTGAAGAAATGCATAATCGAAAGAATCTTTCGGGAAAATATATATTACTAAGAATATTTATGCCGTCTTCGGCGAGATTTTGAACCCGGAAGTATGCAAAGGTCGCCTACGGTTTTGTAGCGGCCCACGGTAGCGTTTCTATCCAACAAAACAAGAAAAAAAAAACGCCCGCAAAGCAGGGCGCAAAAGAGAACGAACTAACACTTCCCAGGTACCAGCAGTTATATTTTTCATCAAAATATTTGTAGATATGCCCGATGTGCCCGCAATTTTCAAGCGTCCGGGCGCGCATGGCCGGCGCTCAGCACACAGATTTTTGTCCGGCGGTGCACGTTTGACACGGCCAGTGCCGCAGTATCACGATTCGGTGTCTCATAATATTATAATTTTTTGACATCAGTATAACTTTAAAAAATTTTGGTACTCAGCATACGTACATTTGCTAAGAATGGAGTTGATTTGCAGTGATTTGTGTTTGTTGCGTGTGTTTGTGTTTCACTTACCGTCGTGAATGCATGTAGGGAGGGGGGGCGCACTTATGCAAAACATATTCGCGGGGAAATAGATTCGCAGTACAGAGGTCCCCGCGAATTCCGCGAATCTAAATATACCGCGGAAATTTGTAGACTTACAGTAGTCAGGGAGAAACTTAAACCCCTCTTAAACCATTTCAAACTTGCCTTAAATGTACATGAGGCCTTGTGACTGTATATTTCTGTTTCATATTTTTCACATCAACTTGTAGTTTTGCAAGTCCCTTAATTCAGATGTTTCAGATTACAAAATCATGATTTGGTAATCTGTTACTCCACTCGTTCCAGTAGTGGAGTAACACACAAGTCCAGTAGTACTGTGAAAAAATTGATAACATTATCCATGATTGTCTAAAGAACGTCCTAACATTGATGAGAAAACAATGCATACTGATCTAGTGTTGCCAATGTGCCAATATTTGCTCTCCCTTCCACTTGTACTTTTTGTGACTGTAGAATTTTAATAGCAAAATGCAAAACTGCACATTTTTGGTACTAAGAAGTAACATTACATGACATGTATATTTCTCAATAAAAATTCTCTCCCAGACTGATGAGTTGATCAGTGACCTGAGTGGAACCATCACCAAGTACAAGGATCAGCTGAAGGTTCTTGAGCCCAGGGTACTTGAGGAGCGAGACACCGGGCATGAGTACAAGATGAAACACATCAAGAGTCTGGAGGCTACAGACAGACTGGTGGGGAAACAGGGACTTAGACTCAAGGTGGGCTAGTCTTACTGGTGTATTTTCTGCATAAAGAACTGTTTAGACACACCATTGTTTATTGTTTTGTTTATTGTTTGTTTTGCACTCACAAAATAAAATGGAATATAATAATTGAAGTTGAGTAGACATGCATGGGGGGGGGCGGAAATCTGGTGGTTTTTCTTTGGCCCTTCCCAATACTATAAGACTTAGTCTTAGATTAAAAGTTACCATTGATACAAAATTTAAACGAAGAAAACAAAAATAACAGGAAGTAAACAGAAACAATTTTATACAAATCACCTATCTGAACAAATAAAGAAATATCAAACTAAGTAATCTAGGTATTACGAACATCAGTACAAAATGTAAATTATATGAGCATGGTTTATACTATCTACATGTACTTTCAAGCCTGATTTTGGTACAATTTCTATTTACTGAACACAATTCCATTGGCTTAGAAAAGGAGAAGCAGCCTTTGTAAAAGGCTGAGGTGTTCAGAAGCATTCAGAATGATTCCAGACGCCTCTGAATTGGCTCTTTGGGTCTTACCTTACCTTTGGGTCTGATTGGTATGAATTTGGATTATGGTGGATGCTCGTGAATGCCCCTGAATGTCCAAGATCATCCCAGTTTGGCAACTTGGAATGGCCGCACAAATGCCGATCAGAACGGCCGTTTGGATTGACTTTCAGCCCTTGGACAAAGTGATTGAATTTTGGGGCAATTCTTTTAGCAGTTTCCTTCTGATGTCTAGCAAGTATCATCAAATCTTTGAAGTCAAATATTTAATCTTGTGTGAAGTGTTCTATAACTGTCAAGTTTATCATGAAAGTTCATCTGTGTTGGTTGCATTAAGGAGGCTATATACATGTATATCAGAGCACTTCAGCCTTCACTTAATAGAGATGGTGGACGATATAAACTCCCTGGCACTTTTGATCAATTGCTTACGTCACGTATCAGTAAAGTCTCGTGTGAATAAGGTCACGTGTTTGTAAACCGTAACTCTCGCGAGATCACGTTTTGAAGTGATTGGTCATTAATTATCCTGATGAAGGCGACAGTGGTCGCTGAAAATTTGATCCCTGTAAATAGTGTGTTGGAATAAAACTGTCAAGTTTATTTTCTTAAAAGTCTACTGCATCTTCCATGTTTCCCCTCAGGTGTTTGAGAATGGGAGAGATGAGGGGGAGACACTGATCTACTTTAACATGAGGGATGCTGAGAGGGCAGCTAAGGGGGACAGCAAGAGGCTGATGGAACAGGTATGTTTACCTTAAAATTTTCAGAATAAAGATAAAAACAACGAAGGCCAATAACCTGGACCAGATGGCTGTCACCGTGGTAACTGGTGCTTTAGTAGATGCACTGTGGTGTTGGTTACGTTATGTAGCAAGTGGCGGGACAAAGCTGGAGGGTTTGGTCACCATATACATAAAATGTGTTTTTATAAAAATAAACAGAGTTGTAATTTATCAGGCTAGGTCATCCCCATGTAGTAAATATTGTGATTATGTAACAGACTGTAGTGCTAGTACTAGATTGATATATTTGTGTATTCAAGTTAACCTTTGTACCTAACCCAGTGTGTATGTTTGTACAATAAAGGTCTTCATTCTTCATTCTTCATTATCTTTTTAGTTCATTGGTAGGCAGCAAGGAGAAGGTGACAGCACATTGGAAAAGATCTGGTAACCACAAAAAATTTTTAGGAAAAAAAATCCAGTGGACGTTCTTGATTCTTTCTTGTTTCTTCCAGCTTCTTGCCACCTGTACTGCCTGTCAGAGACTAGCCAACCCCGTGTCCAATCCCGGGCCGGCGCTCAGTAGTGTCGCTAAGAAGCTGTACGACCGTGACGGTCATGAGATCACCAACATCTACAGTCTCCAGACGGAACAGGAGGTCTGGCTGTCATTTGGGGAGGACTTTAAAGCACCCAGTGGTGAGGAAGCCTTTGTTCTCAAACACAACTTTTCTTTTACAAAGTGCATTATTAGATATTAAATAATTATAGTTTTCTATGACCAGATTGTGGCCAGTTGATAGAATGATGCAGCAGCTTTAATTCTGATCTACAAGAAAGTCACTGAACTGTTTGAGAATCCAGCCTATTGTAAGGTAACTTCTGTGTCTGGAGCAGGGAACATTGAAAATTACATGTTGTTGAGGCAGACAAATTTTACCTGCACCATCCAGAATTTAGGAAGTATGGATCATACAAAAAACTGTTCAGAATTTACCATTGTGGCAATAATAATTTATTCTTATAAATGTCATAGTTTGTAACAGCCATTGCAGCAAATAAAAATCCAATTATTATTACTTTAATTTACAAACAATTTAGGTACAGATAGATGTCAGAAATTCCTGCACAGATCAAATTTTACTTACACTAACCTGAACATGCAGGTGGTATTTCCAGCCCTGTATTAGCACGTTAACATGTTCAAATATGTTAATTACATGGTTATAATATATTTCCATAACTTTTTGTAAAGTAAGACATGAAATCCTATTAGTAACCACACATTTCTGGAAACATTGATGATTGTTGTAATTTATGATATTTTCCTATGTTTTCCACAGTGTCTGTGTTACAAGTGTGTTTTGACAAGGCCCAGGGAGTGGCATTACCAGACGGCAGGACGGTCGCCTACAGAGAACCTGTGGGTGGGGAGGACGCTGTGGAGGGGATAGACAGGTACGGACAGGTTTAAACAGAGCACAGCCAGTACCTGCAGGTACAGGGAAGTAAGAGTCGATTGATGGAAAAACATGTTTTTCCATCAATCAACTCTTACTTCCCATTTTGAGTCAAATTACTCGGCTGGTGCATTTTTAGAGTCATTTTTAGTCAAATGACTCAGCTAGTGCCTGTTTTGAGTCGTTTTGAGTCCACTGACTCGGCTAGTGTGAGTTTTGAGTCAAATGACTCGGCTAGTGCCCATTTTAAGTCCACTGACTCGGCTAGGATGAGTTTTGAAACAAATGCTAATTCGAGTCAAATGACTCGGCTAATGCCCATTTTAAGTCCAATGATTTGGTCAGTACCCGTTGTTTTGAGTCAAATTACTCTGCATATGCAAATAAGAAAGACAAAATAAACCATTTTTATAGCCAACTTGAGTTCATTTTTTAAAAACCTTTTGACTGTGCTGAGCTTCAAACAAAAACCAATTATATTGGTAATAGGTTTTTAAAGTACTAAGTCTTATTTCATTATACTTTTTAACACAGACACAGTCACTGGGAGGCTACTGTTGGCTTCCCCCTGGAGTATGACTACACAGAGCTGCGTGATGAGAGGGACATCGAGGATGAAGAGGAGAGAATCAGGAACAAGGCAGCTACAGACAGGGTGGTCATGCATGTCAAGTCAGCCGGGCTGGACACACGGGGCAGCTTCCTGCAGAACAAGGTCAGCATATTATCCAGGTGTACTTATACTGCTGTAGAACTGCAATATGAGACCCAAAGTGGAACTGAAGTTTGAGACCTACATGTACATGTAGCTACTGTATTGTGTAGTGACTGGTAGCCAGTTATTATGCTGTAAAAAATGTAGTCTTAGCCTTTTATGGACCAAAAAATACTACTAAACAATAACTGTACTTTCAAAATGTACACCCCAGGTTTTTTTTTAGCTTTAATGAGACTTAAACAAGTTTTTTTCGTTGTTTCAAATTTATCAGTTCAACTCATAATACAGAAGGCATATCATACACAGGCAAAGATGAAGATGAAGATGAAGATTCACATAGTGCATTACTACTGGTATTTATTTACAACGATTAAAACAAAAAGGAGGGACATAGCAGTCTATACATGCACATAGACTTTGTAAGCGTAATGTTAAATGATGATGATGATGATGATTGGTTTATTAAAGAAGCACAATCTGACATAGCAGTCAACAGACTGAATTAGGCCAGAGTTTACAGTAGTTTTAAAATCAGTTGAATTCATAAAATCACAGCTTAAAATATAACACATTATAAATATTTACAGTTCGTTCCACCATTGTCATACATGAATACATAAAATCTGTTACAATATTTAAAAAAACACGTCTACAGTTCATTCAGTAACTTTGTCATTGCAGGGATTGCACTTGTTATGTATCGTTTGGTCCCAGTTGGCTGTTGGTAGCGTGTCTCTTTGTCTGGTGCTGTACATGTATATCACTTTGTAGTTGTCCAAAATAACTGTATTGTCGGTGCCACTTGATAATGTTTAATACTTTCTTCCAAATTGTAGAGAGGTAAGAATAATTGATTGAATAATTATATATTACAGGAGGACACTAACACAGTGCTGTACCCTGAGCTCAGTGTTCAGTCCAAGAAAAAGAAAGGGTGGCCACCTGGGTGTCAGACCTGGGTTATCAACCAGGCAAGTGTGAAGTTGTCTTCTATACCTGCTAAGTTTCCTCACAAGTAAATTTAAAGAAATAACTTAGAAGTTAGAAAACATTTTTCTCTTAAAGATCATCCTGTCACAGTTATATGAACAGAGAACAGTAAAAAACTTAAGATTGTAAGGAAGGACGCATTGATAGGAAGGATTCCTTATTATAATTACATGTATTATGATTATTTCTATGTGTTAGACTAAGTGTGATCTATGCCTCCTTACTTCTAAATATTACAAGTAAAAATTGACTGGCGCAATTGCACCAGTGAATGTACAATCGTCATGATCTATGCTGGAAAAAGTATTTTGAGCCCAGCTTTATCAAAAACAACAATTCAAAGTTACCCTTTATCAATTATTTATCTAGCATCACAGTAAATTAAGCACGTACTTGTAAAGGTGTACTAGCTTTATAGTCAGAGTAGTCCTATTCAACATTCTGCCAGACATAATACAAATAGACACATACCAGCTAGTATTATCTGCCATACATTGTACATGTTACAATGATCGTAACACTTGTGCAATAAAATTCACAAGACGGATAAAAATTTCAGGTGGCTAGAACACTGCTGCATGTATCATGTATACTGTAGCCCAACATTCATGATGACTTGACTATATGTCATACTGAAAGTTGTTTTCCCTCTGCCCTGCCCCCCCCCCCCACTCCAGAGTGGACTGATCTACAGCCGTGCCATGCCCCAGTTGGCTCTAACCGTCAACGACAACCATCGTGTGGAGACGGAGGTCAGCGAAGGGCTCACCGTGGGGGGATTCGGGGTCACCATGCAAAAGAGGTTAGTATACATAATATGCATTCCATTCTATACATTATTTTACCTTAAAGTTTAATCTACACACTTGTATGTATTTTTTTCTGTTCAAAAAAGTTAAATAAACATGTAAGCCATACACATAACATTACCACAGTGACATGACATACAGAAAACAAGCACTCATTCTTTGGAGGCACTGTACTTCTGTGAAATTTTTAATAGCGTTTTCAATTTGCATAATATATACTTAACACTTTGTATGATGTTTTTTCAAACTTTGCAGGATGGTTGGGAATCCTGCACAACAGTGGAGCTTCAGTCCAGATGGTTATATCTTCTCTGTGGTCAGTACATGTATCAACTTTGTCTTGTTTTTATCATAGATTCACCATAAATGTAGTTGGCAGATAGCTAAATTAGCAAAGGGCTCAAGGGTTCTGTTGTGGTGTGTGTGTCCTTTTTCATATCTAGTGGGTTTGCCAAATGTATTAAAAATGAACATATTACATTCTCTGACAAGTTCAAACTTTGAATGACATTTTTTACACATCTAATGTGAATTTTTTATCATATATGTATACATCACACTCCAGTACGTTTGGGACCGCACTGTTCCCCGTAACTGTGTGTAAACAAGAGTACATCGGCATCTTTATTCTACCACCAGGACTTTTGCATGTAGCTAGAACTTTGCTGTAAACCAATGATTAGCCAGGGGTGTTATAATAATTACAACTGTTGCTTACATTAGCACAGGATAGAAAAAAAAAGAAGATATGTTATGCATTTTGTAATGCATCTATAATCACAGTATCACCTGTACTACATGCATGTGAACCAGTTACAATTGCCCTGAGGAAGGCGACAGACAGTCAACGTCAGCTAAATAAAACACTTTTTGGTTGTTGTGTAAAAAGTCTCTGCATTCAGTGACTTACCAACTTCAGGAAAGTATTCAAGGAAGTTTAAACCCTCCACATATAGTCTAATAATTATTAGTAAATAAAGTATTTCTGATTCTGTGACATCAATAAGTGTAACTTGTTTTCTTTGTTTCCTCCAGGCCTATCCCGACCTTGTCCTGACCTTCCTGGGTGACCAGGGCTCCCAGCCGACCTCTGACCTCATCACCCCGGGTCTAGACCTCCCGCAGGGCGTAACGGCGGTGGACGTGAACGGTACGTCCGAGGACAGCGACTACCGGCCGCACCTGGTCGACCTGGAGGGAGAGGAGGTTCTACATGTCCGGACCGATCCACTCGCTGGCCTGGGGGAGGGGCAGGAGTTCTCAGGACAGAGGAGTATAGTGGACGTGGTGGAAAAAGTGCCTGCAAAACATCCCTGTGCCAAATTTCAGAGGTAATGTCTTATAATTCTGAATGACTTTATCATTATGGTAACTTTATTTACAAATACTATAAAGTAAAGAGGGTGACCATGAAACTTCAAGAACTTGTCTTATCTTGCAACGGTTTAAATGCATTTTAAAATTTACTACATCTTCATGTAGATTACAGCAATTTCCCAAAGATCCTTTCTTTCTCTTTTTCTAAATTCCTTTCTTGAGGTATGAGCCATACAAAGATTAAACACAAATTAACTAGACTATAACACCTTTCCAGGCTTAGTTCAAGACCTACTCTCAAAAGTTTAGCCTACTAGCAAAAGTTGCCCCTCAAAATGCAAAAAATAGCATTTCAGAGGGTCAAGAACTTTCAAAATTTTCCCCACGAAGCATGCCCCTGGGCCCTCATTGGACAATCGCGCCTTCAACACTCGATCTGATGTTACAAAATTTGACAAAATGGACAAAAATTGAATATCGTTGCCCAACATTCCCTGTCCCTGGTGCTGAACCTTTGGTAGTAATGGTTGTTGGCCATCCACCAGTAGACTTTTGCATTTCCCGTTCCCTATTCAACAGCAAAAGTCTTAAAAGTCATAATGGGAGAGAAAAAACACTAAGTCCTAGCATTACTGAACGTAGCCATGTCTTACCTGTACGTAGGTGGGCTCTGAAACAGGAGGACCTGGCCAACATGGGGCAGTGGAAAAAATCCAAGATCTCCAACCCTGAGTGGAACAAGTTGGCATACTCCTGGCCTGTCACTGAAGACGGGGTCTGGAACAAGGTAGGACAGGGCCATATTTTACCTTCTATTTTGCCTTCTAATCTTTATTTATTGCTTATTGTTTGGTTTCTAAACTTGTTTGACTAGTGGGAAAGTAATTGAAGAGAACTTGTTATTTTAGTATGTGAATTAATGCTTCACATATAGTCAAGTCATACTTTCTTGCACAATAATTCAATCAGGTACTCTGGATAACATATTCAATAGCATTGCTTGTGTGTGTACGCTGTTTTTTTTTCTGGTTTACATTTGTCTGAATGAAATAAATTAAGACTGCTACAACAGTCCTCATTCCCACTTATTATCTTCCAGGCGTATTATGACATCTCCATGTCTTATTTTCAGGAGTTTAAGTGGCCCCTGGAAGGTTTTCTCATTCCCATGGCTCCTCCACTGAGGAAGTCTAAAAAGAAGAATCCAAATGGAGGTTAGTACAAGAGAACTGCTACTTATTAAACAATTTTTTTTTGGGGGGGGGGGACTTTTGGTGCACATGTCTTTTATTATGTTTACTGAAGGAAACATATTGTTTTTGCTTTGTTTCCTCTTTTTCTTCTTCTCCTTACCAATGAGGTCAATGACCTGAACCAGACGTTTGTCACCATGGGAACTAGTGTTGGGGGTTACATCATCTTGCAATTTTATAGCAGGAGGGATTTAGACTCCTGTCTGATCATACATATGAATGTGTTTGAGTAAGAATTAATAGAGCAGACCATGTGCAAAGGTAAACATTTTTCATTTGCTTTGCAAATGTTACCTTAAAGTTTCTAGTTATTTGTTTATTAGCTAAGCCTGCTACTCTCTCTTTGTAACCAGGCTGAATTGTAGATAGTTCACAATTGATGGAACTTATATAATTTCATGTAAATTAAGTCTGTATAATTAGATAGAAACTTTATAAATTTTTTTACGTCTATCATTCCTAGTTGTCCCTCTGAGGCTAAAGGTGGTGAGGAATGGAGACAAGAACCCCAAGAACTCAGTAGTGATTGTCGGACCAGATCTGACCAATGTAAGTTTTGTACTGTGATCTTTGATGTTAGTCTAGAACACAAAAAAACATTATTCTACCATTCCTTAGAATTTGATTATGTGTGACAGTCATGATTTTTTAATTTTTTCAGACTTTAAGATAAACAGGTTACTACATTTACCAAATGTTAATGCTAATGCTAAATTAAATTCAGAGAAAGCAGTACATGTATATTCCTTTGTAAGGTATGTAAACTGTACTCATTAAAGTCTTTGGTATGACTCAGCCTTGAATCAAACTCACAACCGACTAAAAGCTTACCAATAGTACCCATTCATTGCGCCAAAAAGCAGTTACTTAATAAGCAACTGGATATGATTTCTGAACCAGTCAAACGTTTCAGGTAGCATCCACTACCTTTCATAAGTTACTCTAAGAGACCAGAGGAGAAATGCAGGTGTATAAGCATGACCTATTGATTTATATGCTCTTGATATGTGATGGAAAAAGCTTTCTTAGAGTCACTGATGAAAGGTAGTGGATGCTACCTGAAACGTCTGACCGTTTCCAAAATCATATCCAGTTGCTTGAGTAACTACTTTTTGGTGTATCTTACTTATTACCTGGATGTCTAACTTTCACCAATGTACCCATTCATTGATTAGTGATTTATTGCTTGATTGCCTTACTTGCCCCAGATGATGCGTGACATGAACAAGACGGCTCTGAATGGTAAGAAGGCGCTGCACCACAAGCGGCGCTCCTCCTCCACCATTCACGTGGACGACCTGTCTGAGGACATGGCCGACGCCCTGCACTGTGACAACATGCCCAGGTTCAGGGAGCTAGAGATGCAGCTGGTTTGTTTGTTTGTTTGTTTGTTTGTTTGTTTGTTTGTTTTATGCCCAGATTCAGGGAGGTGGAAATGCAGCTGGTAATTCTCACAGAACCTTTAGTTAATATAAATGCATAGTTTTGTTTTAGAATTCTAATCAAATATAGCTTTTTTTATTTCTTATTGTGTCATTGTACATTTTATGTACCTGTAACATTCTGAAAATCACTAGAAATTTTTAACTAGTATAGTGAAGGATGAGTTATCAGGAAGTTATCAAGCAACAGGCAATAGGCATGCAGCTTTTGAGATCATTGGGCAGTTGTAATCTTCTTGCTGATTGGGTGCTGGGTTTAATTGGATTAACTCATGGAGCACCTGTCAGAGGAACTGCATTCAATTGTTTGTAGTAGGTTTGTCACACTTTCCAGCAATGTGGGGCAGATTTTTTTTAAATCTTGCAAATGAAGCAAATATGCATCAGGCAAATGTAAATCTTTTAGAAACAATAATGTATAGGATGTTAGCTATCCAACTGTTTATGGCTTCACCACACCATTTGTATGGGAGGGGGATAGGTCCATTTTTGGTACGGTGGATGTGGTGAAGCCATGCTGCATTTGCTCCTGAGGAAATATCGGCCTTTCTAGTTTATGCAATTGTCTGTTTCTTCTCTCACCCTCCCAGTTCTTGGAGAGATGTACCACACTGATGGACCTGCCGTTTGCGGCGCGGCGGCTGTTTGACGATAACGGGAAGGAACACGGCACGCTGGCGGAGCTGAAGCGGGACCAGGTCGTGTTTGTGTCGTGCGGAGAGGTGTGGGTCGACCCCAAACTGACGGAGAGTGAGCGCCAGAGGAGAACACTGCTGGCCAACCTGGCGTCAGACGTTGCACAGATCAAACACTACGTCGCTCTCAGGAACCCAGAAGGTATGTTACCTTTTGGATTTTATTTTTAAATATATTTGCTAGTAACTTTTAATGTGTTTGATAATTCTACATATAATTTTTTTACTAACTGTGACAAATTTTAAAGTATTTTATTATTTTTTATGGCTTTTAAAATATCACGGGCAAATGAAAACCAAACCACAGGAATACAAATGTGGTGTAAACAGTTGTGAATTTGCGGTAGTTCATAGCGACTTTTACAACAAGCTGCCACTGTACTAAGTTCTTGAGTTCCGTGGAGCTTCGGCAGCTTAGTTGTCATCCTCCGTAGTTCTGATTGATGGCTCCTGGAGGATTTGATTTTCTTTTAGAACAGGCAAAAGTCAATGTGCGTGTGGGTGTTATCCATATTAGTGTGGCCCTATTATGAGTACTATCTAAAAATTATGTATTATTTGATATGGGATCGCAATATGAACATATATGTACAAGGCACTTCATCCATGACTTTACTTGAACAGAAGTTTTTTTGAAGAACTGTTGCAGTTGTGTTGGATTGCATTATGTAGCAAGTTTTAGAGCGGCCTCTCACCATGATAATAATTAATATTATATATGAAATTCAATGTTTTTAAGTACTAACAATAATCAGAGCTGAATTTGTTTGGTTAGACCCTTATTATCATCATGAGTTAGGGCATGTGAAGGTAAACATTATACATTGATTTTACTTTGCCAATATTTCCTTTCTATAGTAGATAACTTTTCCTTTTTTATTCACCCAGAACTGGTGATGATGGTATCCGGCCCCCTCCAGCCTGGTTCCCAGGTGCTGGTGGAGAAGTGCAGCCTCAGTCCTGAGCAGCAGGAGGTTATTGCACAGGCCGAGCTGACCGGGGAGGGAGGGGAGCACGGGGAGGGGGAGGACAAACCTCACACACTGGAGGAGATACTAGGGGAGATCGGGTAAGTCTTATATTCACTGTTTTATCCTTTGCAAAATGCTGTGAATGCGGACGTAACTATGCCACTGCAGGGCAAAAAAAGTCAAGAGTCTGTGACCTGATTAAGATGTCAAGTTATTGAAAAATATTGTAGAATAAATGCCAGCAGGACAAGGGTTAAGTCACTGTGTTTTAAAACCCCTATCTATGCATGTATTTTGGAATTTGATTTAAAAGTCAAATTCCAAAATACATTGCATAGATAGGGGTCTCTGTCAGTGGTGCTGAAAATGATGCTGTGCTAGTGTGGCCTTCATTTCACAGTCATTATTATACAGACATAATTTCAAATTAATGTAAGTGGAACAAACTGGTGGCCCCAAATCTAATCATTTTGAGGTCTCACTGTACAAGTTTTATAACCCCAACAGCTCTAGTACTTGTTATTATTATACAGTTATTCTGTATTATTCAATAATTGTTCAATCTTCTTTTTATAAAGTAGACTGACACTGTGTTTTTGGATGGACATACATTGTACATGTGCTAGATAAATCGTGATACCTTATTTATGCTCCCTTCTCCCAAGTAAGTTGCATGCAAATACAGTGAAGGAAGAAGACAAGTGAGTGGGTGTAGAACCATTTGGTGGTTAGAAATGTTTGCTGGTGATCACTAACTCTCAAATTGGAGTATTAAGCATAATGCAGGGTTCGAAATACTGGGTGCGTATGCACCTTATTGCAGGTTAAATTAGGGCTGTGCAGGTATTTCTGATGTCTACCTGTACCTAACCTGCACTGGTCCATGTACTGGGTATATGCAGGTTAGTGCAGGTAAAATTGGAGCTGTGCAGGTATTTCTGATGTCTACCTGTACCAAAACTGCACTGGTCCATGTACTGGGTTTATATATCAAATATATTATACAATGTATGTGAATGTGGATTATTTGCTGCATTAACTGTTACCGCCAATGAAGTATAAAAGAAACAATGGTCGTGATAGTTGTTCAACAGTTTTTAGAATGATCCATTCTTCCTATTAAATTCTGAGTGGTGCAGGTAAAACTTGTCTGGTGCAGGTAATTTTCAATGTCACCTGCACCAGTGCAGGTATGCAGAAAAAGTATTTCGAGCCCTGATATTTATTTATTAAGAAATTGTAACAGGACAATGTGAAGTGTGCACTATATAATGAAAAGATGTAGGTTAGATGTAAGGGGGTGAATCATTGTTGATGTTGTGTGGATGTTTTCTCTCCCTCCCCTGTAGGAGTCTAGTGTACGAACCCTCCTGGGTGTAAGTTTCCCTCCCTTCATGCCTTTCACTCACAAAATCCTCTGCACTGCCTGTACACAATGTGTTTCCCTTATTTCTGTGGATGTCTGTTGGTGATATGTTTGTACTCGGTGGTGAATGAATGCTGCATGTTACGTTGATGAAGGTTAGACATCCAGGTAAACAATATTCAAAGACAAGTCAAACTCTACTACTGGATAAGTTATGGAGATTGCTTGCGGACATTTTGAGTGACATCTGTTTGTTCTTCTTCCGCGTCACCAAATGACCCGAGAGAACTAGTAAATACTAATCACTCAAAACATCTGGAAGTTATCTCCATAACTTATCCAGTAGTAGAGTTTGCTTTGTCTTTTAATAATACTGTATGTTACAAATGTATGTGTACTCTTGTTAAATGTTGGAATATGGTGATATTACTACACACTTTTTTTTCACATTTTTTTCACATTTTTTCCTTTGTCGTGTTGAATTGGCGATGTGTTGTATGGACATAATTTTTTCCCTTTTTTATCCAATATCATTTTCGTCTTCAAAGTTATGTATGTCATTAAAGTCATGTCAATATACAGTGTACAATGTACATGTAATGTTACACAGCCAACCTTATGTAAAGTTTATTCTTTGTTCATACCTTGTCACAGAGCTTATGTTACTTTGTAAAATTAATGTAGAGGTCAATGCCTGTGATGTCACAAAACTTCCAAGTTGTCTCAACATTTCACTTATTACTAAGTCATTATCATCACGCTCAACAACATCCAGAAGAGCACAATGCCAGTTTGCAATCTACTACAGACAACGCTACGTTATCATCAGCCAAAAAAATTCATTTTTTTCAAGTCATCTTATATGCGTAATCTCTGATACAGGTCAGCCCACGAGAGGTCCCACCAGCGATCGGAGGAGAGACTGGCATCACGTAAGCGACCCTGGGAACAGGGCTTCACCAGCAAGTATGATGAAATCATCGAGCTGGGAACAGAGGAAGAACCTCAGTACAGTGACATGGCTCTGTACAGCAAGTTCAGGTGAGGCATACATGTAGGCAGATGACGGTAAACGGTGATCTCGAACCAGTTTTAGCTCACTGGTCATAACACTCAGAAGACAGATGCTATGTCATAACACAACAACATGGCATTACTTTTAGAGCTCTATCAGGCAGCCAAAAGAGGACTATAAAAGCCAGTTTTTTCAACAAAATAGAAAGAGAAAAAAGCTCTCCAGCTGGAAAATGCCAGCATTTATCCACACATACCAATAAAAAGGCTGATTTTAGTTGGTTTGGATGCACTCACCAAAGGGTATACTCAAAATGAGCATGTCAGCAGAAAGTACTGCGTCTGTGCAAAACCCTAATTTTTCACGGTATTCGTTGGAGGTTTGCTCAACGTAACATAAGAATTTTGCCTGTTGCAGACGATATCTTTTCCGACATAACATTTGAAACTTACAAACGCGAGTGTAAACCTTATATGTGTGAATACGACCTTATATGAGATGTTCTGCCAAAGCGCTATGCACAATAAAATATTTTGCGCAGGTGCAGTACGTTCTGCTGACGTACTGGCTTTTTGCGACGGCGGGAAATGGTGACCTTTGTGTTGATTTTGTCTCCCCCAGACCTAAAAACCGTTCCCCCAGAAGAAGCTTTCCCAGGACTTGAACCCAGGACCTCTTGGTTCCGAGTCGAGCACTCTGCCATTGTGCCACACGACCCCACGATTTGTGACTGTTGATTTTGTCTCCCCCAGACCCAAGAGCCATTCCCCCAGGAGAAGTTCTCCCAGGACTTGAACCCGGGACCTCCTGGTACCGAGTCTAGCACTCTGCCATTGTGCCACACGACCCCACAATTTGTGACTGATGATTTTGTCTCCCCCAGACCTAAGAGCCGTTCCCCCATGACAAGCTCCCCCAGGACTTAAACCCAGGACCTCTTGGTTCCGAGTCTAACACTCTTCCATTGCACCACACGACCCCACGATTTGTGACTATTGATTTTGTCTCCCCCAGACCTAAGAGCCGTTCCCCCAGGAGAAGTTCGCCCCTGAGTGCCCAGCGGTTCCTGGTGCAGGATGGGTGGGTGGAGATGGCTGACTGTCCTGGGCTGGTGCTGGGTGTGGCGGAACAGGACGTGACGGGAACCTCCGTTTCCGTGGTACTGGTCAGGAAACGGGACGACGACATCAATCAGAGATGGACCCTCAACAAGGACGGGTACGCTTGTCTTTGTTATCATCTTTTCATTTTGATTTCAACTCTACAATTGCCTGATGTTACACAAAAACATGAACTATGTCTACCAACTTTAGTATAAGTTACTTAGTACACTAGCTACATGTATGTAGTCTTCCCTAATGAATGAAGAGGATAAAAAAGTAACTTGAAGACAGAGTGTGCTAGTTGGTATTACATTTACTGTTCATACATTTTCCTTTACCGTTGTTTTATTTCATAGAAGGAGGGAAAAACAGGTTTTTGCTGTGTCTGCAAATAATTCTGTAATACACTGTCAGTTACAAAATTGATTTTTGTTGTGTTATGATTTAGCGGTAAGAGATAACTTAAAAAATGGAACACTGCAAAGTAAGCACATTATTTAAGTTTACAGTATTATGCAGATCTGTAGGTGCATAATATGTACATATGCAAGTACTGGACATTGTACATTATACTGTAACAATAGACATGATAATAATTATTAATATAGTATGATATTATGTCTAATAGACATTATATGTTATACATTGCATATAACTGAGTACAGATCTACTAGGTAAGTGTAATAGATTAAATTTTATTTTCCAAGATCATGTTACTGCCTAATTTTACACCTACCTTGTTGTACATTGTACAATGTTACTGTATACAGTAACAGTTGTGCGATTAAGTTCTTCTTTGATACTGAAGTTTAAATTCTGTATTTTCACTTTGCAGCTCCATCAACATCAAAAGCAACTACGGCCTGGTGCTGGGAGTGGCCCTGCCTCCCCAGCCCCCAGGGGAAGACTCCCCACCCCCGGGGTACGTGGGCGTGCCCATCTCCCTGCAGCCCCGCAGGGTGGCGGCCCTGGGGGCGGCAAACCAGCGCTGGCTCTGGGACCCCGTCACTGGGTTCATCAAGGCTTTCGCTACAGATGTAACTGATAAAGGTAGGAATGGTAATAATTTTGGCATTATGAAGTAGGCTCATGTACATTGTTTTTCTGCACTGCATTCAACATTAAATTTGCTTTCTACAGGTAGTTTCCAATGCTTGTAATTAAATCCATAAAGATGACATCAGATTCTGCTCATGCCATTGTTCAGTTGTACACAATGTATGTTCTTGTATTTTGTATCTCAGGTGAATTATATGTTAAAAGTTTGGTTGCAAGATGGTCTTGAGGTTAGGGTTGTTGTCTCTGAATCTGAAGTCCCTGGCACAATTGTGTCCTTGGGAAAGGCACTCAATGCCTATTTCCTCACTCCACTCCACCTTAGCTAGCTTTTGTCCTCTTGGATAGGATGTAATGCCTGAGAGATTCTGTGTTTAAGGAGAACCACACTAGACAGTTTACACAATCCAAATTTATTGGGTGCATTTAATATATACAATACACAATGTAGTGCAATACGGCACTTATACAGGGTCAGGGTCCTTCCTGGTGTGAGTTCAAACCTTGCAGTCCAGTCTTATGCAGCTTGTACTTAATGTACCATGTACAAAACAATTGTGTGATGCCAGCTTAAGGCAAAACATTCAATTTTTTTTAGTTTTAGTGTACACTTACTGCTTGACTGTCTAGTACATTGTCTTTGAAATTTTATACCAGATGAGTTAAATTGCATCATGTGTTTACAGAAATCACAGCAGCAAACAAGGCAGGAGTGTGCACACATGCAGTGACAGGTGCACAGGAGCTGGAACAACCCGTAAGTCGGGCTTATTTTGATAAAATGTAGAGACCTTCAAGTTGTTTAGAGATGTTTGACCAGGATTTTTAACCAAGATTTCTAACAGTCAACCTTTTTATTTCATTTGTGAATTCATCAATCTTTGTAGGTCTAAGAAATAAATTGCCCTGTCAGCATGGCAGTTTCGTGTTTTCATGTTTTGTTCATTGAGATACACTAAGTGCATGTGTATCATATGTCAAAGAAACAAAATGATGGAATTGATAGTAGACAAAAGCATAGTTTGGAGGTTTAACCCACATGTAATATTCATCAAAATTTGCTACGTGTATTGAACACCAGTCCTTAAAAAATTGTTTTTTATGAGTTTGAGAGTTGTCTATAGTGCTGATACAAAATTTAATATACCCCCAGCTATTAATAAATAATGTGCGTGCATTATTATAATTACTTGTGAATGTTACATTGTTGTAGATCTCTTTAAACATATTTTTCAGGATGGCGAATTATAGGTGACCCTTAGGACCTGATTACATTTTTTAGCTGATATTAGAAGTCGTTTGGTGGACTGTCAAGAACACTTAATGCACAAAGAATCAGCTTCTAGTAATGTAGCAGTATTAGAAATATTGTCCCTGTGTTTATACATAATGTTTATATTGTAGGGTTATGCGTGGGCGATGCCGACAGCCAAGGGGAGTCAGCAGGCCATGGTGTGTGTGGCCTGCGCTCGTGCAATGCGTGGAAGCTTCCGCCTGACCAAACTTAACGTCAGCATTCCGTTTTCCTGTGCCATGGGAACTACAAGTAAGTAGAGATGCATATTATATGTCATACTCATACGTAGGTGATGTAATTGTTAATATAATCATAATGGTAAAGTTACAGGTCAAGTCACAAATCAAGTGTTGGAAGCCACTAATTAAATTTTGTACATTGTAGTACATGTACATCAAGTCTTTATTGCCACTAACATTTTTCTGTTTTTGATGATTGAAGTTTCCTTGAAGTGCCACAAACAATGTGGCACTCCATGACTCTGATACAATTATACGCTTGTGACGGAAGCATTTGGTTTACAAGTAGACTGAACCTTTGCAAAGCTAAGCCTTTAATCTTTTAAGAATGTTTTCAATCAGATTCATCATTGTGATTGTATTTAAATTGCTACATGATTTTTTGTTTGTTTTTTCCTTACTGCAGTGAAACAAAAGGGACAGAAGTTTGGTGGCTGCTTTCATTGTTTGAATGGAAAGGTATGTCTTATAAACATGTATAACTATCAATGTTAAATAGCGTTGGATGTTGAAAAGAGATTGAAAGACTCTCATTAAACCTATATATAACACATTCCCAACTAAAACGAGAAATTCTCCATACAGTATGTGCAAAATGCACATACCTATGTGCAAACTGCACACAGCTATGTGCAAAGTGCACACACCTATGTGCAAAGTGCACACACCTATGTGCAAAATGCACATACCTATGTGCAAAGTGCACACACCTATGTGCAAACTGCACACACTATGTGCAAACTGCACACAGCTATGTGCAAAGTGCACACACTATGTGCAAACTGCACACAGCTATGTGCAAAGTGCACATAGGTGCATATACCTTGTGCAAACTGCATAATTATACTACAAACAGACAACACTTTAATTCTGGACTGACTCTAATTCCGGACGACCTTTCACCATTCAGACATTATTATAAACATGTTCTCAACTAAAAACAGAAATTCTACCATTCAATGAATGTAATTTGCATTCAATGAATGTACTTTACATTCAATGAATGCAGAGTCTGCATTCAATAAATGCAGTATTTCCATTCTGCATTCAATAAATGTATTTCACATTCAATGAATGCATTCATCATATGAATCCGTATCGCCCGAGGTACTTGTACCAGCCCTACCGCGCGCCGGATTGCCTGACGGCCGTAGACCCGAATTTGGCCCGATTTACACGTGTGTCGTTTATATGTGTTGGGCGTAAAACGACGAGCGAGCGAGCGCGGCGCTGCACCGCGCGTTTTGTGCGACAGATTTTTTTAGCATTTAAACGACCTCCGCCACAGACGCGCGGCGCACGTCATTTTCCTGTGGCACCTACTGGAGGCACCACAGGTACGCCGCGCGTCTGTGGCGGAGGTTGTTTACATGCTAGAAAATCTGTCGCACAAAATGCGCAGTGTGGCGCCGCGTTTTAAGCCAAACACATATAAACGATACACGTGTAAATCGGGCCTTTGTGTTCATACTTTCAAAGCGGTGAACGCGGTCAGGCCGAAACGTGTTCAAATTATTCTATGGAACATTTGGAACCCCAGGCCGTACCGCTAGTTATCACACGGGCCGGAATACCCATATGTAAACCCAAATGTAATCGCGGCAGACACATGACATAAAATATGATATACATTTGTAATGCAATTACGTTCAATATGGGTGTTCTGGCCCATGTGATACATGTAACTAGCAGTATGGCCCGGGAATCTTTACTGTACAGCCCTGGCTTCAAAATGTTCCAGAATGATTCGAACGCGTTTGTGCATACTGAATGTGTCGCTTTTGAAACTTCGAACACCAAATTCGGATGTTGAAAGTGACGCAATGACATGTTTCGTACACACCAAATTTTGGCACATTTCTCAGCCATTTGATAATCAGATAGAACACCGGGCTCTACCGGTAGTTATCAAATGGGCTGGAACACCTGTATTGAATGTTATTGTGGCCCAGGTATAGCAAAAAAGTACTGTAGCTATCAAATTAGTTTTAGCGTGTGACATATTTAGACATTATATCATAAATACTACCGACCTTACACTGTGTGGGCCTGCAGGTGGGTGGGGGAAGTCTGACAGATTGATGGGTCAGTTTTTCATCAGACACAATGTCATGTACAACAAGAGTTCCATGACCTATGCAAAATTATAGACCAGGTTACATTTACGATTTATCATAATGGTTCCATACTAGGGCCTTAATTCCATCATGATGTTCCTCTATTTCTTAGTTACATATGTCACTTATCAAAAGTCATGACAATCTGTCTGATAATATAATAACTGTGATATGAAGTTGGTCCCTGCAATCAAAAAAGCTGCTATGGGCTTCAAACCTACATGTATACCACTTTTTCAGGAGGCCAATAGCTATCAGACATTCACTAATCATGTCTACAGACCTACAGACAGGGATTAACCGTGCTGTGTAAACCATCTTGGAAAAGGTCATGAGTACATGTAGGAAAGGTAGCCTCCTTCCCAGTCTTGTTGGGCGTCGGCGTTATTTTTTCTCTGAGCGACGCGAGTAATATGCGGCCGCGAGGGACAATTTGCTGCCGAGGGAGTTTTTGCCACGGAGAGAAGGTTTCGCACTCCAACAAGACTGCTTTCAGTCGGCGACTAGAAAGGACCTCGGATTAAGCCAGCCTTTCATAGAGGCTATACATGTTATTCGCGCAGGTCCAATTCACATGTTCGCGCAAGGGTAATTCACAGATACGCATGGAGAAGGCTGACACGCGCTCGCCTTTGTCAACGGTTGGTTTTATTAGTGGAAGGTTCCAAATTCTTCCAACAGAGAAAGAGTGAACATTGGTAATGTCACAACAAAGGCATTGCTGTGCATTTTTAAGCATCCCATGCAAACAAACCAAGACAAACTTTGCAGTACTATTTTTGCTGGTGAAATGTGAAATTCTTTCTATTACGCAACTTGCTGTGGAGCGGTGCGTTACCCTCCCATGATCAGTGAGATCAACCCGCCACCAAACAACATGGCGGCACTTTGTTTATCTGTCCACGTCCCCCTGCAATATCACAGTTTAGCTTGCGGGTTCCTGTGGTAGTGATCTTTTCAAAGTTTTTTTTTTTTCGTAGCAGCAATGACTACGGGATTTTGTTGAGTGGATAGGGCTTGGTTTTCGGGAATGGTTGGCGTTCTACCGACGGGTTGATCGGCGACCGCTAGAAAGTTGCAAGTTTTGGCTCGTCGAGGAACGGGGCGTGAACACCTCCCTGCCTTCGTGGCGTTTATTGCGGGAAGTTCACACATGCATGCCAATCGCTCCTAAGTGTTTTTTGATAGCCCTTTCTAGTCACCGACTGAAAGCAGTCTTGTTGGAGCGCGAAACCTTCTCTCCGTGGCAAAAACTCCCTCGGCAGCAAATCGTCCCTCGTGGCCGCATATTACTTACATATTACTCGCGTCGCTCAGAGAAAAAATAACGGCGACGCCCAACAAGACTGCGAAGGATGCTATAGGAAAGGCTTTCAATTTGTAGTGTTATCCAACACGATGACTACATTGATTCAACAGTTTCCAGTAATTGTCAGAGAGTGGATTCCAAGTATTCAACTGGAAGAAGTGCAAATTTGAAGTCTATGGCTCACCAAAGGCTTCACATATGTCTCAATTACACAATGCATTAGCTAGCTAATCCTTGGGAGACCCTCACTGGTGCAGTTGGGTGTGCTCTATCTGGTAGACCTTTTGGTCAGGGGATAAATCACATGAAGTGTCACCAGAAGCCAGACACATGCTGTTTTGGGACCACCACAATTCATACTCTTGAAACCTCCTTTATTTATCTAAGGATAATGAGGCAATTGGCAGATGAGGCCATGACAAGCAAGCCCACAATTTTCTACCCCACACCCACAAAGAGCATGCTAACAGCCCTTGCCCTGGTATGTTGTTGAGGTCCACTACTGAAAACTTACAGAAAAATTGCAGCCATTTTGAATCTTGCAAATTCAATTGCAGGATGGGTTATTAGTATTGAAAACTTGTACAATGTAAGTATTTTTACACATATTTTTTACATACTTCATACAATGTACTTCTTATCCTTTACCAAGGATAATGTCCTTGCTAAGTCATAGTTTTGATGCCAGACTGTTTCCAACCGTATATGGTACAGTCAAACTTGTACAAGCAGCCACCTCTATTGGTCAGCCATCTGGTCATGCAACAACCGCGTTTTCTCAGTCCTGAATTTTTCTTTATAGACAATGCCACAGTGACTAGCACTATTGGGACGCGTACATAGTTCAATCTCTTTAATTTATGGGACAACCGCATCATTTTCAAGTATGATAGGAAACATTTTTTTAATGATCATAGCTACATAGCGAGAAATCTTAAAAGAATTGGCCAGTTTGCATTTGAATTCAATGGTCTTTGTGCTGTGTAAAATGGGTGATTTTGAGTCAACTGGCATGGGCAGTTTATTGACACTGTAAACTGGGTGGAAATTTTGCTGTGGTTTTCTTGTTCTCTGTCCTATCTCGTCGCCATGCTTTTTGTGTGAAGAGACAACTTTTCACTGTTCCCCTCAGTCTCCTCCCTTGCCCATTAATCACAGCTAATCACAGTTAGACTGTAGACAGGCAGGGTAACACAAGTGGTCCTCTTCCTCTGACCTCTAGCAGTGGGGGTTGTCATGCCAAATTAACACTCAGTCCTACATGAATCTGGTATCTGTACAACCAGCAGCTTCCCCACTTCACATCCATGTGTGGAGAAACCCACATTCCAGTCTGTGTTTCAGGGGCAGTGTCTGTAACTTTACAAGTCATGCAGATCTAAATCAGTATAAGAGGACAATTTCATGGATCACTGTGTTTTAAACAAGGAGGGTCATCTCTTACTTTAAGACTCTTTGGTTATTTAGAAATTATCCTTGGCACCTCACAGAGCCATACATGGTATGGTACAGGTAATCCACAGTTGTAGTAGATTCCCCCCTTCCATACATATAATTTACCCTTACAATTCCTGAATGGAACTTGGTGGCTCTTAGGTGGACCCCACTGCCATCCCCACAGTGGTCAAACCAGGCCCTGTAGAGTAAGATAATACATCACCTGTCCCCTGAGTGATATCTGATCTCTAGACCTGTTGTTGGAGAGTACCTCAATGGAAAAAGATTGGTAGTACTCTGACAACATCTTCCTCATTAGGCCACACCAATTAAATTTGTTGTTTCTCCGATTGGCCCTGTCCATTTTTTTCTGATTTGAAAAAAAAAAAAAATACAATTATACGTATTTTGGTCCCAATGTTGAAGAATCCTTTTCTTCCTAGTTATCAAAGTTTTTCAATGTAACAATGCAACTTTGTTTCATTAAAAGTTCAAAATATATTGTTTTAATTATAAACCAGCCTGGTGTGTTGGCTTCATGGCCCATATCGTAACATTTCCGGCCTTCATGGGGTGCATTGGCCTGTTGTTTTTTA